GCTACCAGCGGAGCTAACTGGTAGATTAGACTCTTGCCGTATCCGGTCGGCAAAACAGCAAAAATGTCCTTCTTGCAAAGGAAAGACTCGAGCACCGTCTTCTGTTCCTCTTTTAGAGAAAAAGCCAAGTCTAACTCGTTCATTGTAGCGGCCAAAGCCATTTCAAACAACTGGTGTTCATCCGTAGCCATCTTGCAGTGTTTACTGACTGATTCCGGACTTCGTCGTCGCAGCGCTGTCGTCATCTGTTTAGCTCGCCTCTGGCCCGCCTATATCAGATAAACCGATGTGATTAGTGCAGCTCGGCTCCAACGGCATGGGTAATGAACATCATTACTGATTGCCAGAGTGACTCGCTGAGCAAATTCAAATTGTGCTCTCGCAAGAACTCTGGATTTCCAGGGTAGGGAGGAATTCAACAGAACTGCAGGTTTGTCGGTGTTAGTAAGAAATGAATCTACGTGGATACATGATGCACTTATTCATGAATACTTTTCATATATTTAAAGATTCCACAGTGTAATTGACTGCATTTCTGGGACTCACATCCCATCATAGCTCCGTCTGAGAATAAAGGAGATTATGTGAAGTCATTTTACAGCAATTCAGGAATTCAGTTAACCTCAGCCTAATATTGACAGAGTGACGTCAGTGTAAGTAAAATTTCTCACCAGTCTGTACAATATCTTTGTGTTTGATTTTGAGCTGTTGCAAAGTGTGTTTGGGCAGTTGAATAAGAGGATACAGCAAATTATATTTAACTATATGAACATGGTCAAGATAGAAAATGTTTCTATATTTTCTGTAGATTAGACAGGCATTGACTCATCATGTTTGAAGTCCATGTACACGGTCATTAAAATCTCCATTTCAGTTGAATGAAATAAGTGGCTCTGCTTTTAACTCTGCTTGCTGCCATTAAAAATAATGTTGTCTGCACTCTACTGATGATGTGTTTTGGTGCTCACTTAGAGTTGACTGAGCTGATTCTGATGAGCTGTTCTGGAAACAGTTTCCCAGCTCAGTCTCAGTCAACTCTGAGATTGGGATTGGGCTCAGTTTTTGTTGAGCCTGCTCTCTGAAATAGGGCCCAGTTCTCTGATGTTGTTTAGTTTCAGTTTCAGGTGATGAGCTCCAAGTGACTTCCCTATCTTTTGTTTCTCTGGGCTGGGCTCTCCAGCGCCTTTTGTTTCTTTCTTTAAGTAGTATGATTTTATTTTTGCTTTACTTCCGAACTTTCTTTTTAATGGCTCTTCCCATTTTTGTGGGATGGACTGCACCTGGCTGGGGAGAGAGGTGCTTAAGAGCTCCTGTGTCAGCAGCCTGTGGTGTGTGGACTACTGGTCCTGCTGCCTCAGCCTGGGATTTAAGTGTCTTGTTTGCATGACTTTTGTTAATACATCCCATGGATTTGATCATTTTAAAAGGTGTCTTATGTTGTTATTTTGGGTCAGTGGCGGAGTTTTGTTCACCCCACAGGTTTGCCCAAGGGTGGGGCATAACATACTCCTATTCTAGTTGTATATACCTCTTATTATTTATCTTATTTATTTTCACTTCTCCTCGGTCTGTACTTATTTCTGTCTTTGTGCTGTTCAAACACCTGAGCTCACACTGTGGGGATCAATAAGGGTTTAAACCACTTTATTTGGAGGTCAAACTGAGAGTTGAACACCTTAAATTTTTTTGAACCCCTCACTGTAACAGGACAACACTGAGCTCCCTGATAGTTTCACAGAGCAGTGGAGTGAGCTCACGTGGGTCGGGTTGGTTCAGTATGGGCTGTAATTTTTCAGCCTGTTGAGAGCTCTACAGATAATGTGCAATATGTTGCTGTGAGCTTTGATTGAGGACACAAAATGGTATTGTTTGGTATCGATTAAGCAAAGTGCAATTTGCAACCCCAGTGCAGCCCAAACTTCCTGCATGTGTTTTATTGTGTTTTCAGTGGGAGGCCTTTGCTGTGAAAAAACAACAGGAAATCACTCTGTAAAAACGATCTTTAAAATAGAAGTATTAAAGTTTGGTCAAACCACAAGCTTGTGATATAACGTGACAAAGACAGACGTCTCTTCCTCGTGTACTTGGTCTGTAAACTGTGATGGATGTTTTCAGTCGGACAGTCGTCATCATCCTGTTCACCTTCGTCTGACATTTTTCTTGGTTTGTTTAAAACCCGTCTGATCATCTGACTGCTCCTGTTCCTCGACCTTAGACTTCTTCGTGCTGATGTCACCATGTTTCCAGATCTCAGTCATTAACTTAGATGATATTATTATTGTTTAGGGCTGCAGTCAAATAAAGAAAATCTTGGTCAACTGAAATTCTACCTACTCTCTTACCAATCGATTCTCTGCAACGATGTAAAGCGGTTTTGTCTCAACGCGAATCTTTAAGGGCTTTATAATAAACTGTGTACTGTATCACTGAAGCAGAGCTACATGTGAGTCTGTCTCACCTTTTCTGATGAGAAAAATCTGACATACTGCAGCCTATAGACGTTAACTCTGAGGTCGACAGTGTCATCATAACTTTACTAATGTTAACTATCTCTGGAACGCATGTAGGAGACTTACAGTGTTTCTCCCAGAAGCTCACATTCCTTTCAGAAGCTTTGTGATCCAACTTTTTGGGGACTTTGTAAAATAAATCTGTGATCATAAATCCAACGTTGAACGTCTTCTGTCCGACCAGTCGACCAGCGAACCAGAAGACGTCAGCGCTTTTGTTATTAATGAAAATGATTGGCTCAAACTACAAAAACAAGTTATAACAAACTGGAATTACCCTTTAAGCTCACATAAAACATGTGGTCACCACCTCTACGTTCAGGAATAAAATACTAAATGCTTTAATTCTGGTGGTGACACTCATCTCCAGGGAACTCTCTGGGCTCAAACACTGAGCCTGAATATTTTAAGGATCAGAGCTGGTGTGTGAGCCAGAGGTTGAGAATCAGCGGTCAGTGTCTCTGCTGTGATCTGTGGTTTTTATTAAGGAGACAAATTTCAGTGGTTTAAACAAGTCCGGGATTCTGTGTGGACCTGAGGCAATGTGTGCTTCAAGTACAATCCCCCGGAAAGGTGACGTCCTCTGGGCTTCAGTCCTGCAGCGGCGTATCATCTCTAGTCAGAGGCAGTGAATCAGCTGGGATCACTGCAGGGGGAGAAAGATTAGGAGGAGGAGGAGGAGGATTGATTTCAGTAGGTCTTCTTCCAGGAGCGGAAGTACAGCTGGAGGGGGAGCAGGGGGTTTCTGTTTTTCAGGCTGGGGTGGAAAACATCAAAGTCTGCCCTCCTCACTCGCTGCAGGTAGTCCTCCAACACCACCTGCAGCACACAATACCACAGAAGAAAAGTTTGTTTCAGAATAACCAAGACAAAATAGATGGACTCAGTGATTTAAACCAGTAAAAACACTGAATAAACCAGTTTAATGCCCAGTTCAGACCAAAGATTTGCAAAGAGATGAGTTGAAACAAGCAGCTACTTGCAATGGGCCGTTCTGCAACGTTCTAAAAACCTGCCAGCTCACACCAATGCAACTAGATGAGACAGTGTATCATCTCTAGTCAACAACTCTCTGTGCTTCTGATCTGTNTCTGTGACGTTGACAGGAAGTGACCACCATGAGACGGCGTATCATCTCTAGTCAACAACTCTCTGTGCTTCTGATCTGTAACGTTGACAGGAAGTGACCACCATGAGACGGCGTATCATCTCTAGTCAGCAACTCTCTGTGCTTCCGTTCTGATTTGCAGCTTTTCAGACTTATTTTGTGCCTGAATATAATTTGTAGCTTCTTAAAATCTGAGATGATAGTGATGAAACGGCAAAAAACAGAAACAAAACCAGCATCAGATGGACTGGAGAAATCCTTTACTAATGGCAGGAATGGGTGATGACTTGAACTTTAAATTTACCAGCAAAAATGCCAATGAAAAATGACAAAGAAGTGCCCCACTACATTTCAAATTTGTTTAAAAAATGTAACAGGAGTTTGTTTGCCTGGTCTATCAAGAGGAAGAAAATAGTTTGGCAAAATGGTAGGAAAAAGGAACCATCTGTCTGAGTTGGCCATTTTCCTTTTCCCCACCTTGGAGAGAAACACACACGTTGGAAAGTTGAATCGGAAAAGAAAGAAGAGTGAAGACTGTCGCCACGATCGATACATTTTAATAATTTAAACATGGACGTACAACAGTCTGTTTTAGAAGAGGTTCTTCAAGAAACTTGTCGGGTACATAAAATAACCTCTTTAAAGCCGCTACAGAAGTTTTGCCTGACGAATTTAATTGACGGAAAGGCGCATCCATCGAATTCTGGATCCTGTCTCTCTTGCCCTGGTTCCAGTTGCTTACCAAAACAGACACTAAACAGCCCCAGACTAACTTGAACAGCAGACTTCACTACAAGCTGATTGGCTGTTGAAACAGGTGACGTGCTTTGAAACCAGCCGCTGGCCATTTGACCAGCTGAGTGTCAGGTGACACCATCAGCTGGCTTGAGTCGAGCTCAGACCAGCCAGTTCACACCGCTGACACTTTTCTCTGCAACGTTCTAAAACAGTTTTGTCTCGTCGCGAATCTTTGGTCTGAACTGGTCGTTCATTACAAATCAGTCAGGGCTGCTTATAATGTTGGCCGATGCAAAGACACAAATGTCCCGATCTAGAGCCAGTGTTTGGTTTGTCTGTTCGTGGCTACAGTAGAAACATGGCGGTCTCCGTGGGTGACAATCTGCTCCCTATGTCGATGTCTCATTCTAAGGAAATGAAAACACAACCAATTCTTACTTTCAGGTGATTATACACTACAAAAAACATCCTTGTTACATTTCTTGTCTGTCGATACATCTGGACCTTTAAATTAGATTGAACTCACCCTGTCCCTGTGCTCTAATGTCCCAGTGAGGTTTGAGTAAAGACCTACAGAGGTCAGTCGGTGTGTTTAATGCGCTCTGCTCTGTTTCCTGCTGTTTCATGCAACACTCATCCCAACCTGCGATTCATCAGAATTAAATTTTCAGCGAGGTGAGAAAGCACGAGCGGCTGTGTTGGCTTTTTCACGTGGACAAACACACTGAGCTGGAAGAGCATCACACACACACACACACACACACACACACTCGAACACACTCACATGTGCCCACAGCTTTCAGTGCAGCGTGACAATCATGATTGTACATGCAGGAGGGCAGAGTGGTTTTTACCGTGTGCAGAAGGTCTGCAGTGTTTCTCTCAGTGTTCTGTGTTTACAGCAGGTCAGCACGGCGTCACGTTTATAGATTTATGGCTGAAATGTTTACTGAGCTGTTCTCATCAACCTGCAGTTTGTAATCAGCGTTTTAATGAAGAAGAAAACAGCTTCTGAGAGTGTGCAGTTTGCAGTCAGTTTGAACTCTTATGGTCTTCTACTACGTTTTACAATTACAAAGAAACTCTGGAATGGGTTTTTTGCAGGAACAAGGACTGTGGATTCTGTCTCTTTGTTGCCATCGTAACATCACTCACTGGTTTATGGACTCCTGTTCTGAAGCCTTGAGTTTGGCATTTCAGCCATTGCCATCTTGTTTTTTTGGAGCCAGAAGGGACCATGTGAATAATAATACTAAACTTTATTTATATGGCATCTTTCAAAACACAGTTACAAAGTGCTTTACTAAACCCAATAAAAGACAAATCAATAAAACAAGATAAAAGCAATAAAATACAGAACACACATAACAGAGTAAAACACACAATAATAAAGCAGTTAAAATCAAGTAGGTTATCATGAGTCTGAGTTTGCAGCCCTGATCTTCTCAGGCAGGTCTTTCTGTAGTCGTGGAGCTCTGACTGCAAAGACTGTCACCTTTGTGAAATAATCTAGACTTCAGAACAAGAAGAAAAGATTCATCTGAGGATCTCAGGGTGCGAGAAGGAACATAGGGCAATAAAAGATCTGTTATACAACTTGGAGCAAGGCCTCTCTGGGCTTTGGAAGTAATCAATAAAGTCTTAAAATAAATGATAAATTATTCTATTATATTTCAATGGGAGGGCAGAGGAGTGGAGGAGCGAGAGGTGAATCTGACTGAGAAGCCAAGGACACTATCAACAGACAGCCTGTCACTCAAAGAAGCCTCGCCCTTAATTGCGCATAACTTTAAGCCTTAAAGCCTCAGTGTGTAAAAATGGTGAGTAACAGTGACATCAGCGGTCACATTCTAGATTGCAGGGCTCACTCTTGCTCACTCGCTCACCCCTCCCGTCGGGTAAGTGACAGTGGCCTCATAGGACAGAAAGCCTTGCGCAGACAGAGATGGCATCATCCACGAGTTTTTCAAGTTTTTCAGGAGTAGGCCTATCTAGTGATGAGGTGAATATTTATTTAGGAATCTAAACCATGTTACGATGTTGTAGCGACCCTGCAGTGAATTCTGTTATGATGTCAATGTTCTGTGAGTTAATGGCATGTTTGGGATTGAATGAGTAGGCTATAGGTAGGGGTGCGGGGTGCGAGTGTGACGGGAATGAGAGCTGTGTGAGCGCGCGTGCTGGTGTGTGTATGAGCGAGCTGGAGGAGAGAGCAGGAGTGCACAGTTGGAGTTACGGCTAAGTTCTCGTTTGTTGGTTGTTTTGGCGTAGTTACGGCCAACAGTAACCTGTACTGTTCAGTAATAAATGGTGGTTTGCCAAATAACTGCGTCATCCTTTCCACACGTCCTGGCGGACGCTACGATCTTATCTGTGAGATAACGTTATGTTAGGAGTGTTTTATCTCTAATTGTTTTGGTAACACGAGCAAACATTAGCACAGTAATGCTAAAATAACACGTTTATGTTATAGTCACAGCACAGTGCGGCAAATATAGGTTGATACGATTATAATATATGCGTCTCCAGAGTGTTCTTCCACAGGAGTTCTTTCCACCTGGAATAAGCAACGCCGATATTCACTCGCGTTTTGTCCCATCCTCGCTTATCTGATCTTTTTCTTTTGTTTGGTGGCGTGGTTTCCCTCTTACGGGGCAAAACATGTGTGTGCTCCTCCATTTAAAGTGCGACAGAATCATAAAAGTACAAAGCAGGTTCACGCAGAAGCTGTGGGGATGGACTCGCTTTTGGAGCCAGCCTCTAGTGGACATTAGCGGAACTGCGGTTTTTGGCACTTGAGGGTTGCTATCATTCTGTAGCTTCCCACTCGTGTTCCTTAGGTATTCAGAAACCAGTATTCTCGTTTTGGTGACAGTGTGTGTGTGTTAGGGTCAAAATGCTTTTTTCCTCCAAAAGCCCTTACAAAAATTTCCTCACATGACTGGACGTAGGTTGCTATTATATACAGTGTTGGTAATAACAGTAATTTATTATGTTTTAGCTGTAATGAAGTCATAAAACACCTTAACAACAGAATTTCAGGTAATGCTGTTATATTTACAGTGTCACATAACACGTAACCACCTGAAATAAACTGTTTATTGTTTTCATTTATCCACACTGCTCCACTTCCACCACCGAAAAAACACCCCCAAAGGTTGTTGTCTCATTGTTCCATTCACATCTCCTACAACACTCGTCATAGTGACTGAATCACACGCCATTCTGTTTGTTGTGCTAACCTAAATGTTTGTTTATTGTCTTTTATACCATAGGCCCGCAAATATTTATCCATATGTCATAATTATCAGATTTTGTCAGTCTGCCTGACTCTCCCTGTGTCCAAGGAGATTCATTTAGTTTAAAAGGCCCAGGCTGTTTAATTGTTCTATATCACCATGCTATTATTAATATAAGCAGGAGACTTTAATATAAAGTGGTAACCACTGTATGTGAACACATGAATGGGTCAGACCTGAACGTGGCCCTCATCTATTTAAAATCAACATCAGTTCTCCTGAGCTGCAAGAACGTATTTCTCTACACAGAGAGTAATATGGTAACTTATTACTTTCAAATGAGGGTAATGACTAATATGTAATTTATTACATTTTGAGAGTAACTTGCCCAACACTTAATCCCTTCATTGGCTCCCTGTTGAGTTCAGGATCCAGTTCAAAATTCTCATTCTTATTTACGGAGCGTTACACCGTCAGGCTCCCTCTGATGTAGCTTAACTACTTCACCTGTATTCTTCAGCTCGCGCTCCTCAAACACATACGCTACATTTGTTGTCTGTCCCTCGCACTCGCCTTAAAACACGTGGTGATCGAGCCTTTGCGGCCGTAGCACCTCAATGTTGGAACGCTCTGCTTGCTCCCGTACGGTCTGCTGACTCTGGTTGCTTTTAAAAGCCAGCTAAACACACACCTGGTTAGACAGCGTTTGGGTAACTCGTTTGTACCAGAGCTGTACTTTTTCCAGTGTTGTGTATTGCTGTTGTGTAGTGTGGATTCTGCATGTTAACTCAATTCCAAAGCTCACACAAAAATCTGAAAGCACTTAACGATGGAGGCAGCAGGTAGATCAGCGACTTCAGTGAGCTGTGAGGGAAATGATCTGTTTCTGTCACTGGACTCTGGTGAGTCACTGACTGAATGAGAATCTGGAGCCTGTTAACTGTGAACAAGTCTGTGTGTTTTTTTGTTTTTGTAAATTTGTTTGCCAGTTATGAGCCAGTTCCCCGAGGAGCTTCTTATGTGAAAGTCCCAGAACACAGCGAAAGGATCTTTTTTTTTTGCCAGAATGCTTTCTGAGATATTTCACGTGACAGATGGATGAACTGATCCTGAGGGGAAACACAAACTCACGTGCACTGATACTAAATGTTTTCTCCTGTTTCTGGTTTTAATGATCGCCTGCGTATTTTCACTGCCAGAAGCACCAAACTTCTGCCGCTCTCAAACAAACCTGACGTGCATTAATGTTAGGACTACAAACACGTTTAAAACTCTGGACGAGACCTTCTGACATCTAAAGAGAGAAAAATCAATGACTCAAGCACACCAGGGGAATTATGTTTTATTCTGTTTAACTGAATATCACCAAGACACCTCGAGAACATATAATGAATATACATGTGCAGATTTCAGTGAAACACAGAGAACAGATTGGCCTCAGGCTAAAGAGCAACAGTTTGATGCTGTTCATGTTTATTCTGCTTTTTCAGCCACAAATATAAATCTAACAGGAAGAGCCTTCAGCTACGTTTCCACCGAACAGTACGGTTCAGTTCAGTTCAGTATGTTTTTTTCTGTCTCCACAGTGAAAGTTGTGGATGGTACCAACAGAAGTGTTCTGTACCGTCCCCATGTTTGGTCCCCCCTCTGTTGGGGTACCTAGCACACAGATCTGGTACTAAAAGGTGGAGCTGTGAACACTGCAGTCTGATTGGTCAGTAGAGGACGGTCACTCTGCTCAGGGCTGAGTTGTGTCTGGTTTTGAGGCTCATGTAACCACTGTTCATACTGTGGAGAGTTTTATTACTAAACTGTAACTATAAAATGAAAGGATGTTTTGCTGCCTCTCACAGCAGCTGGAGTCTGAGAAAAAATAACTTCATTCACTGGGCCGACTGCCGGCAACTTTTAAGGTGGAACGTTAACTTGTAATGTTACTCAATGCATGAGTTGATGACGTGAATCCATCAGCACACCTTAAATTTCACTGTGACAACTTTGACCATCACTTTAGTTTCTATGTGACATACATTCTTAGTAATGAGTGGATCTTCAAGTGTTTTTAAATATCCCATGGAGAGAGACTCTCACTGCAGCCTGTTCTATTTCGTTGTGAAAATGTGGGCGTGCAGCCTCGTTCTGTGGACGATAAACCAGGTGCAGACTTCCATCTGTGTCACCGCTGATGAGGAAATACAGCGAATGCTGGACGGAGCAGTGAGTGACAACAACCCCGCCCACATTTAAGAGGACTGTCTGAACAGACCGAGGGTCTAGGTACCATGTCTGAAGGGTTACTGCTGGTTCCAAAGGTACTGGACTGAAAGGGTTTGGTGGAGACGGGGCTTTAATTTTCATTAAGAGATGTTTAATAAATCAGTTTAACTAACACTAATGTGTGTGTGTGTGTGTGTGTGTGAGTGCTACTTACAAACAGACAGGACCTTTACGTGAATAAATGTCTTTCAACCCTTTGAAACCTGGAGTTTTCTTATGCTGCATTCAGATGCCTTTCACAAGCATTTCAACCTTTAAAGCCTGAGTGAATTGGTTTTGTTTCTTTTAAAAACATGCTTAAAAGGCAACGAGCAACTTGGCAAAAAATGTGACAAGAAATATGACAAGAAAAATAACCTGAAAAAGAAATTAAAGAGAGGGGGAAATTATTAAAAAATTATCAAAAAACTAGAAGAAAAAAAAAACGCAGAGAAAAATGTATTTATAATTATTATAACTGTATTTTTAAATTATATTTTTCAGGTCATTTCCTTGTTTGTTTGTTTATTACTATTTGTCGGAAAACTTTCCTGTAACTTTTGGTATTTTCTTGCTAATTTTTGGGTCATATCTTGTAAAGGTGCTCACTGCCTTTGTCGTGTTCTAGAAAGGAATCAGGCCATTTGCTCAGGCTTTAATGGGTTAATGTTGCTGTCATATATGTAATGTTTTTCATGAATGCTTATTTAGAGTTTGGAGTTATTGTAAGACAAATTATTTTTTAAATCATCAGTTTTTTCCCCAATATTTACTACTGATCACTGCCCCCCTCGGTTTGTCCCGCAGTATTTGATGTTTAAAGACTCACCGTCTGAAGGAAGGCCAGGCTGGCAGGTGCTGGGACATCACTGCTAAAAGATCGCGCCTGAAAGAGAGAGGACGACAAACAGAAATCAAACTCACAGGAAAAAACAAAGTAGGTTAAACCTGTCCGCTCCTCAGACTGCATCCACACTGAGCCTGCCACATTTCTAAACACCATCCATGCCTGAAAATGACAGACATTTGGTTTGTCTAGAGATTTGTCAACCACACAGAAACACCGGAGCAAATGGAAAACAGCTGATTCTCTTCTTCATTCATTTCCCCAGATTCTGACATCCTGGCTGCAGTCACACACATCTAGAGGTGCTGTTCATTAAATGATTTTCCTAAAAGATCAATCGTTTCATCTATCTGCGTGTGTCTATACCTATACGTGAGCTTTTGGAAGCATTTCCACCATTAAAAGAAAGATCAAACTAAAAACAGACGTGGCTACAGATCACTGAGAGGCTTCATTTTTTACTTCAATCATTATGCCCTGTAACTATGCGCCCTAATTTTGTCTTACGGATTTAATTTTCCAGTTGTGTTTTTTCCTGCTGTATGTCTTATTATTATGATTATTTTTCAAGCACAGGAGCCGGTAGATGTTCTAATGACCGGCATCATTTCTGCAGAAACCTCCTCTGTTGTTCTTATTAAATTAATTAGCGTAGCACTTTTCTAATTGTAACCGAGGATTGGACCGCCAAGGCCCCTGCCTTGGTCTGCTGCCCAATCCACATTGCACCGAACCCCATGGGACATGGAATGTCACCTCTCTGGCGGGGAAGGAGCCGGAACTTGTGGAGGAGGTTGAGCGCTACCGGCTAGATATAGTTGGCCTCACCTCGACACATAGTTCCGGCTCTGGAACCCTAGTCCTTGAGAGGGGTTGGACTCTCTCCTTTGCTGGAGTCGCTCCGGGTGAGAGGCGGAGGGCCGGGGTGGGCTTTCTGATAGCCCCCAGACTTTCTGCCTGTACGTTGGGGTTTACCCCGGTAGACGAAAGGGTTGCTTCCCTGCGCCTTCGGGTCGGGGAACGGGTCCTGACTGTTGTCTGTGCTTATGCACCGAACAACAGTTCAGAGTACCCACCCTTTTTGGAGTCCCTGGGACGGGTGCTGGACAGTGCCCCGACCGGGGACTCCATTGTTCTGCTGGGGGACTTCAACGCTCACGTGGGCAATGACAGCGGGACCTGGAGGGGCGTGATTGGGAGGAACGGCCTGCCCGATCTGAACCCGAGTGGTGTTCAGTTATTGGACTTCTGTGCGGGTCGCAGTTTGGCCATAACTAACACCATGTTCAAACATAAGGATGTCCATCGGTGCACGTGGCACCAGGACAGCCTAGGTCGCAGGTCAATGATCGACTTTGTAGTCGTATCATTTGACCTGCGGCCATATGTTCTGGACACTCGGGTGAAGAGAGGAGCAGAGCTGTCAACTGATCACCACCTGGTGGTGAGTTGGATCAGATGGTGGGGGAAGACGCCGCGCAGACCTGGCAGGCCCAAACGAACAGTGAGGGTCTGCTGGGAACGCCTGGCGGAAGAACCTGTCCAGATGATCTTCAACTCCCACCTCCGGGAGAGCTTCGACCGCGTCCCGAGGGCAGAGGGGGACATTGAGTCCGAATGGGCCTTGTTCCGCTCTGCCATTGTCGAGGCGGCAGTTGCGAGCTGTGGCCGCAAGGCCGCTGGGGCCAGTCGCGGCGGTAATCCCCGAACCCGCTGGTGGACACCAGAGGTGAGGGGAGCCGTCAGGCTGAAGAAGGAGGCCTACAGGGCATGGTTGGTCTGTGGGTCTCCGGAAGCAGCTGACGGGTACCGGCGGGCCAAGCGGAGCGCAGCGGCGGCAGTCGTTGAGGCAAAAACTCGGGCGTGGGAGGAGTTCGGTGAGGCCATGGAGGAAGATTATCAATCGGCTCCAAAGAGGTTCTGGCAAACCGTCCGGCGCCTCAGGGGGGGAAGGCGGCAACTTGCTCACACTGTTTACAGTGGGGGCGGGGAGCTGCTGACGTCAACTGGGGACATTGTCGGGCGGTGGAAGGAATACTTTGAGGAGCTCCTCAATCCCACCAACACGTATTCCAGTGAGGAAGCAGAGACGGGGGTCTCGGGGGCGGGTCGTCCAATTTCTGGGGCAGAAGTTGCTGAGGTAGTGAAACAACTCCGAGGCGGCGGAGCCCCGGGGGTGGATGAGATTCGTCCTGGATATCTCAAGGCTCTGGATGTTGTAGGGCTGTCCTGGCTGACACGCCTCTGCAACATTGCGTGGACATCGGGGGCAGTGCCTCTGGAGTGGCAGACCGGGGTGGTGGTCCCCATTTTCAAGAAAGGGGACCAGAGGGTGTGTTCCAACTACAGGGGGATCACACTCCTCAGCCTACCCGGTAAGGTCTACTCCAGGGTGCTGGAGAAGAGGGTCCGGTCGATAGTTGAACCTCAGATTGAGGAGGAGCAATGTGGTTTTCGTCCCGGACGTGGAACCGTGGACCAGCTCTTTACCCTCGCCAGGGTGCTGGAGGGGGCATGGGAGTTTGCCCAACCAGTCCACATGTGTTTTGTGGATTTGGAGAAGGCTTACGACCGTGTCCCCAGGGGCATCCTGTGGGGGGTGCTCCGGGAGTATGGGGTTGGTGGCCCCTTGCTAAGGGCCATCCAGTCCCTGTACCGAAGGAGCATGAGTCTGGTTCGCGTGGCTGGCAGTAAGTCGGACCTGTTCCCGGTGAGGGTTGGACTCCGCCAGGGCTGCCCTTTGTCACCGGTTCTGTTCATAACTTTTATGGACAGAATTTCTAGGCGCAGCCGAGTGGTGGAGGGTGTCAGGTTCGGTGACGGGAGGATCTCGTCCCTGCTTTTTGCGGATGACGTGGTCCTCCTAGCTCCATCGAACAGTGACCTCCAGCTCTCGCTGGGGCGGTTCGCAGCCGAGTGTGAAGCGGCTGGGATGAGAATCAGCACCTCCAAGTCTGAGGCCATGGTCCTCAGCCGGAAAAGGGTGGATTGCCCACTCCAGGTCAGGGGGGAGGTCCTTCCTCAGGTGGAGGAGTTTAAGTATCTCGGGATCTTGTTCACGAGTGAGGGTAGGATGGAGCGGGAGATTGACAGGCGGATTGGGGCGGCGTCAGCAGTGATGCAGGCGCTTAACCGGTCCGTTGTGGTGAAGAGGGAACTTAGCCAGAAAGCGAAGCTCTCAATTTACCGGTCGATCTACGTTCCAACCCTCACCTATGGTCACGAGCTCTGGGTAGTGACCGAAAGAATGAGATCGCGAGTACAAGCGGCCGAAATGAGTTTCCTCCGCAGGGTGGCTGGGCTCAGCCTTAGGGATAGGGTGAGGAGCTCAGACATCCGGGAGGGACTCGGAGTAGAGCCGCTGCTCCTCCACATCGAGAGGAGCCAGTTGAGGTGGTTCGGGCATCTGGTAAGGATGCCTTCCGGACGCCTCCCTTGGGAGGTGTTTCGGGCATGTCCAACTGGGAGGAGACCTCGGGGCCGCCCCAGAACACGCTGGAGGGACTACATCACTCGGCTGGCCTGGGAATGCCTCGGGGTTCCCGCGGAAGAGCTGACAGAAGTGGCAGGAGAGAGGACTGTCTGGGCTTCTTTGCTGAGGCTGCTGCCCCCGCGACCCGGACCCGGATAAGCGGAGGACGACGACGACGACAACAACAACGACGACGACGACGACTTTTCTAATTGACTCACAGTGAGAGGGAGAGGACATCACAACAGACAGTAAACACAATTAAAGCATGCAGGAGGAAGCAAATCCTCATTTTTATTATGTATTTATTTACACTGAATATGATCACATGCTGTAACAGCTGGGGACATTCTTAATTGGTATAAACAAGCTTCAAATAAAACAGAACGCTGATGAATGTTTTGGCAGCTGCTTTATGAGAAAATCACCCAAAACACAAAAATCAATGAGGCATGTGAGCGGAGGTTAATGAATCTACAAACCAATCAGCTCCAAACTCATCAGAGCTTCATTAGTAAGTTAACACTAAAGCTAAAAGAAGGATCCAGGACATTTTTAATCACTCACAAGACACTGTGGGCACAAACTGAAAACCCATCATCCGACACTGACTTTACAAAATGGCACAGCGTTTTATTCCCACTGCTCGAGCTCTGTCACTAAGTGGCTTGAAGTGTGTTACAAAACAGAACTGCTGCAGGTATTTCACTTCACTCTTCTCTGAACGCAGCCCTAATTTGAGTCAACAGCTGCTGCACTGAACAAAAATATAAAAATTGTGAGCTTATGCAACATGATTACAGGTTGTGCAATAAAATTGTTTCCAGGAGAAATGGTTTGTTTTCCAGGTTGTTTTACCATTTCCCAGGACTTTCTATTTGATGGAGAATGTTATAACCCATTCTCCTCCACACCTCCAACCACAGACCTATACTTGTCTTATTTAGGGGGACAGGGGATCTTTAGGGGGGGACAGCAGGTCAACAGTAGATGTCACATAGAAGTGTTGTACATCACGTAAAAGCTGGGAACCAGCTGCACATAACACCTCAAGTTTTCTCCTTAAGTATGACATTTAAGGCTTAATTTCTCCTTAGCTGAGGGACTTAGGGCCTGTGCACATGCTACCTCTTTAACCACCTAGATAACACAAGGTCGGGCGCTGGGTGCTACTCTTTGTTGTGCCAGCTTTCAAGACGGATTTCAAGCTGAAATCCTGAGTGCAGAGCTGATCTTCTTCTAGGAGCTGTTTAGAAGTGTGTAGGCCTGTCGTCCATGGGACATATGTAAAGCTCTGGGTAGCCCTGCACTAACATGATCAACTTTTCCGTGTTTATCAGACTGAATATTTACAGAAGAAGGGAAAGATATCTGTCGGCTGTGATTGGTTGTTCCTCGTCACATGACATGTGGTGCGCGCTGCTGCGTTCCAAAAGTTGAACTCAGATTATCTCAGAGCGCAGCCATCGCACCCCGAAAAATGGGCGCTTGGGAAAGTCTGCGTCACTCTGGCGTTTGAGCACGCCTGCCACGTGTCTACACTGAAAACAAAGAATTTTAGGGCGCAAAAAACATGTGTACGGCCCCTTACACAGAATCCCTTAAAATGTTTCGTTAGATAAGGGAAAACGTTTACTTGTTTACCGCGTTGAAAGAGATTTTACAGCGGTAAAAGTTTCCATGGAGATGGTTTGTTTGCTTGGACTCAGAAAGCTGGCTTATAGTTAGATAGTGAAAAAAGGCAGACGAATAGAAGAGAAGAAAATCATATTAGTCAGAGGTGGTCGCACAAAAATCTTGGTGTGTTGGGTGTGTCAGAGGTACCTTAAGTTGTTTTTTTTTTTGGTACCTTGCTTTAGTTGCTAAAGTCTTTTGTGCAACGGTCCAGAGATTCCTTGAGTGTAAGACCAAGACAAGGAGAAATCCATAAATACTCAAGTGAACATTTTAAGGAAAACCTTAAGGAGAAGACTTAAGGGTGTTTTGTGCAACCTAAACTAGGACTTAAAGGACAATCTTTACAACAATGGTGGCTGCTGTCAACAAGATGAACCAGATAAAGGCCGTTCTAAATCAACACGTCTTCTCATCATCGCCCAACATCATGGTAGCTTCACTTCACTCTTGCTCATCAGTGTGGACTTACAATGCCGTTAGATTCAGCTGGTTATGTTCGTCTCTAGTGACTGATTGTGGGAAATTCAAACCCCGCTCTCCCACAGAAATCAGTGAGAGTGGACTCAGCGTCAGAGCGAAGATGGAAAAGGATTTTAACGAGTTGAAACTTCTGTCTGATATCAGGCAGAGTCTAAAATAACCTCTGCAGCCAGGTTCAACATCTGCTGGAAATCTGGAGCTTCAGCAGCCACTCATGTTTCGTTATGTCATGTGAGTGTGGTACGTACGTGTTGTAGATGTACGTGAGCCTGACTGGCGATGTCGTACACCACATCCCGGACGTTCTGCTCCCGGCTGCCGCGGATGAAGTCCTCCTGAGAAGCTCCGTGCTGCACAGACACAGAAACAAACATACTTTACAACACCGTCTATCTCTCCAGTGCAGCCGCATCCAGTTTAGCTCCACTTCACACCAGAGCTGAGGCGTCGCTTTCATCTGTTGAAAGAAGAAACTTCTGATGCAGCAGCAGCGGAGTCTGACATGATGCTGCAGGGAACACCACCCCTGCTCTCACACACGACCAGAACACACTGCAAGAGACTGCGGGGAAAACTTTCAGATCTGGACTCTGATCCTTCATCGTCGTCTCCACTTTGATTCATGAGGTGCACCTTCAACTGACTTACACCTCATATATTTACTTTGTATTGTTTCTACTGCTCTGTTCATTTGAGATGAATAAAGTTTTACTTAGTGTTTTCCTTTCAGTGGTTTCCTCTTCTTAATATAGTTTCCTGTAGTTTCTCTCTTAGTCTTGATGAAACATTATTCATGCGCAGATCCTTTGAAGAATGACGAGCAGAGTGAATAATAACAGACATTTTCTTTGTCAATCTAAAACCTCTCAACAGACGTGATTACATTTCTCCACTTGTATATCCTCTCCTCATCACCTCAGACCTGCAGACTGTGATGACTAAATTAAGGCTCTCAACCAAACTGATCTAACCTCAGATGTTACCTAATATGAGACCAAAATAACAGGACAATTTCCTTCCAAGAACGATTTCAACTGGAAAAATTGCCTGAGGGTCGACTGAATGACGCGAAAGATGAGGCAGGTAATAGCGGAAGAAAAGCTGGAGAGCAGAAATTACTTTTAAGAGAGAAGAAGAGAGGTGACAGAAATCTGCTGACCTACAGGGGAGATAATTCAACATAATTGTAACTTTCTGGAGCACACACTTTTAACAAATTAAAGTATCTTATAGATTTTTAGTAGTAATGAGATCCTGTTGTGCTGTGTTAGCTCACGCTAACTGGGTGTCAAACAGCTGTCAGCAATCGGCACTTAACGTACCTCATATAATCTACTCTGCAAAAAAATTATGGCTGACTGTGACTAGGGCTGGGCCATTTAACAACTATCGATATATTTTCAAGCAAGATGTAAATTAAGACAACACTGCTTATATCGATATAGGGTCAAGTTGCGTTACATAACACATACCAGTGTTCATATCTCCTCTCTCACACTCCCCATGCCACTCACTCACAGTTTCTCCATCAGCACTCAGAGACACAGAGCTGCTCCTCTGTTTAATCTGTCTGTTCATTAGTCTACAGTGAGACATCGGTCTGTATGTTGCACGTGCTACGCTAAATCATTCTGTGAGGTGAATGAAATGATGGCAGTAGCACACGTGCAGTACAACGCTGCGCTGCTAGTTTGTGTGTGAGGTGGATCGTAGTGTGTTGCCATTCTTCTTGGTAGTAGGGTTGGGTCGGTTCTCGGTAATACCAGTTCCGTTCGGTACTCCGTCTTGGACCGTGTTTTTTTTTTTTTTTTTTTTTTGAGACCGACCGGACCGCATACGTCATTTTACGGCGGAACGTATGTGGAGCTGAGTCCGCGGAAGTCCGCCCGGACTAAAAGCGGACGTCCGCAAGCCCTGTGCGCACAAAGTTCAGATTTTACGACCGCGCGGACTCCGCTCCGCGCACCAGTGTCACACAAAAGACTGCTCAGCATGTATTTTTCACACCGCTGGGATTTTTCACGGACATTTTTACAGGAAACTACAACGCGGAAGTGCGCTCAACTATGGAAGCCCGAATGACTGTGGACATTCCTCACGTAGTCCACTCCGCTTATAGTACGCCCGAGTCTGTGAGCACCTGTGTCTGCCTCTTCGCCAAGCGCACAGCGAGCAGGAGAGAGAGGGGGTTGGGGCGGGGACTGAGCTAGGGGGTGCGAGTGCGCATGCACCAAGGCCTTTGTTTAACAGTGACAGGGAGTCGATAATGGCGGACAATTTAGTCTCGAAGAAGTCAAAGAATGCGCCACTATGGCAACACTTTGACTTTGAGCCAGACGAAGGAGGCAACCCTTGTTTGCACTGATTGAGTAAGCTGCAAAATTTATTTGTGAGGAATAAAAGAAACAACGTGTTACTGGCACTCTGGTGTCCTATGGTTGTTTTTTATTTTAAATGAGTCAATTGCGCCCCCAAGTAGCGAAAATCCGGTATTACCGACTTGATGCGGTTTTTAAAAAAAAAAACGGACCGTTTTTTTTTTTTTTCCCCTCATACCGACCCAACCCTACTTGGTAGTCGTAGTCTAATGTGTGACACTGAGACAGAGCCTGGATGCAGGCGACAGATGTGTTTTAAAAATGCAGCGACAACACAGACGTTTCATACACAAGACGTATATGACAAGGACAAAGTATTGGCCTCTCTGTTGATGCGCTGTGCATATGTAAAATTAATGGCCTAGATAAAATAAAATATGTAAATCACTTTCCAGCACTAGATTCATTTGAAAGGCCAACAGATGGAAAATGACTTTTTAACTCCGCCCACAAAGATTTTTAATTGTTTCAAACCTACTTGATCCTTTTATGGTCATGTTATAGTTCAGTGTCCTGAGCTACAAACCTTTGAACCTCTGTAGCTCCAGTGCTGTGTGCAAAAAGTTAACGTACAGCCCTGCTGTTTATTATTTTACATAATTTTTCATTTCCACGTTGTGCAGCTGTTTATTTTCAAACAGGGAAAAAATCCCTGTCTTTGCATTTTATTTTGATCTCAGTCTGTTTTTATAAAAGTGCCTGTGACAAGGCTTCGGTACGTAGTGGATAGTGCCGGTGCCCCATATGCAAAGGCGATTCATCGCTGCTGCAGTGGTCGCAGGTTCAACTCTGGCTTGCGACCCTTTCTGCATGTCCACTCTCTCTCTCTCCCCCGATTTCACCCTGTCTCTGTCCATAAAGGCTAAAAGCCCTGAAAAAAAATCTTTAAAAAAAAGAAAGTGCCTGTGACATCTCAAATGTGGCTCTGACCTGCAGCTGAACATGTGTCCCACTTCATAGAAAATACCAAGAGATATATCGTGTATCGCCGTTCAGCCTGTAAACACTGAGATATGCATTTTTTTTCCATATTGCTCAGCCCTAAGAAAAATCAAGGCTCACAATAATGAATCCTATATGAATCAGTTGTGACTGTGTTTGATTGTTGATCTGTTTTTGTACTCTTCCTCTTCCTCAGCTCGAGTGTGTTTACATCCATCATGCGCATTCAGTCGAGTGTCACAGGAAAACACTTCCATCTGTTGACTCCTGCTTATTAATTAATTAAATTCAATCTAGCTTTACATCTTCAGTGATGAGTGAGTCACCCTGCACAGGGAGCATGAGCTAAACGGTTCATGTATATCAGCAGTGCCCTCTTCAGGCGGCAGAGTGAAGGTGGTGTGAGGTGAGCGAGCTCAGCAGGCCTCAGGTCAAAAGCATCATCCTCCAGCTGAAGATTTTAAGGGCAGAGCTTGCATGCTTCACGCAGCGACCCAAATACATCTGCACGGTAAATACACCCCTCCTCCCTCCTCCACCCCCTGCAGCAGCAGCAGCAGTTTGTTGTTCTCTATGTGGGACAGATGGCCCACACAAAGGTTGCAAATTGTTTGCGGCATTATTTGTTTATCTGCATCATGGATGTATCTCAGGGACGAGGGTTTAGATTAGAGGCTCTCTGTGTTTCACCATATGGTTGTTGTGTAATGATCCCTCCGTTTGTGCAGGACGACGATTTCATTACTGCTTCCACAGGAATATCATCTGACATCATGTCAGAGCCGAGCCATGAGTCAGCACAACGTGGAGAGGCATGTGTGTGTGGGACTGCCTTATGTCATCTTTGGAGGAAAAAAACATCAGATTTTAAACCAGCTGAGAGTTCAACTAGTGTGTGTCTTCACTGCTGTCCAAGTGAGGTCCAGGTTTAAGTTACAGTTAATGATGTGTCTGTGTCCACTGAGGAGAGAAAGACTCTTGAAAACCGTCCTCTTAAATAGCAGAGGTTGTTTTGATGTTTTTATAAAGAAATGACTAGATCAACTATTCTGGTAATGGATTCATTGCTTTTCTCATTTTTCAAGCAAAAAAGCTACAAGTTCAGAGGTTCCTGCTTCTCAAACGTGGACATTTGCTGCTTTTCTTTATCATATACGGCCCCACTTCCATCAATAGCTTTTAGTATAGATCCTTTGGAACCAAAGGTACCTAGATCCTAAATCGTGGGTGGGGTTGTCGTCACTCACTGCTCCATTCAGCTTTCACCGTGTTTCCTCTCCACTGGTGATGCAGAGGAACGTCTGCACCTTGTTCACAATCCACACAACGAGGCTGCATGGCAAGATTTTCAGAACAAAAAAGAACAGGCTAGAGTGAAGCGAGATCTATACTTCTGCGTTGAATTGCTGCTGTAATAACGGCTTAGGTTCTCTGTCGACGCCTGTCATGCCCCTCCCCAGAAATGTAACTACATATCACAGTGACGCAGACCTCCTGTCTGTTTCTGTAAGCTGAAACCATTTCCCTCAGTGGAAACAAAGCTTTGATTTACTTTAATTTCACAGATAAGAAGCAATAAATTGTGAACACAATAAAGCCTCCACAAGTTTAGGCTAATTTAAACAATGCACAATGCCTTGTGCTAATAATGTTAGCATGTTGCATTTGCTTGGAAAACGTGTTTAGTATAAGACAGTTGTTTTGTCAGTGAACCTTGTGAGCTGTAATGGAGCCGAATAATGTGACGTTACCTTTGTTAAATGTTGCTGTTGTCCCTGGCTTCATATGAACAGGAAATCTCAGCTTGTCGCTAGGCTAATTTATACAATGTAAAATGCCATAGGCTTGTGCTAATAACTTTAGCATGTTGTATTTGTGGGGAAAATGTGTCCAGGTAAAGACAAGTGTTTGTCTGTGAATGCTGCGAGTTATTGTGAAGCTGATTTGTGTACTTGTGTTTGAAACTGTCTCTATTAAGCCATGTTTAATGTGTGTTTAATGTGTTCTTTTGAATCAACTAAACGTCACAGCACTTCACAGAAACTCCACCACCGACTAGTGTTTTGGAGGTGTAACTGCAGAGTGACACAAACACACCACCGCACAAGTATAAATGCTCACAACAGCGTAGGCCACGTGCGTAGGCTATGACAAAGGCTCCACACAGAGCCAACACACAAGTTCAAATCTGCCTTGAGAGTCTGAGTCGTTGTCAGGCAAGAGCAGCAGTGTCGTGCTGCCGGAGCGTACAGGAATGACACTCTGCCACGTTTTTTTTTTTTTCAGATTTCGCAGTTCACATAAGCCAGTTAAAAATTGCTAAATATTTTTTAAACTATTGAAGCTCCAATCATTACTGAAGCATGTCATCCAAGAGAGACAATAAACACAAATGGAATGATCAGAGTTTTCATATTGAAATCACGTCATCAGCTCACACAGTGAGTAACATGCGAGAAATTTGTCCTAACTTTAGACTTTATTGTATTTTGGGAAACGTTCTGTATTTAACAGTGATGCATCGAGCACTTTGACTATTTTCTACAATGTTTAAGGGTTGAAACATGTTTATATATCTCAGAAAAAGACACTGTTCTGCTATCTGTACCAAGGTTTGGACATCAAACTGCCTCTGACTTTGATTATTTTGTCACATGACACTCAGACCAAGAGAAGATACTGTCGCACTCAGTGTAGATAACAATCATCTCCGTGCTTTGAACTGAATTTTTGTGCTTTATATCTTTTTACATGTCAATACACGTAGCAGTGAAGTGTCGACTCACCAGCATGCAGATGTCCATGGGCAGATAGACTTTCCGTCGGCTGCTGTGATAAGGAGTCGCTCTCAGACACGTCACGATTCCCTGAGCTTTACCGATGTGACTCGCTGCGTGGTCTGCATGGACGTTTTTCAACCCTTAAAAAAAAAGAGCAAAGGACAGACACACACTTACTTTAACTGGCTGAAGTCTGCTGTCGGAGCCTGGCTTGGAAAATAATCACAACTTCTCATCAGTTTTCATACTGAAGACCAAATCCTGACCTTCGTCCTCATCTTCAACCACCTTACTGCCAGTAACAAGGGAGCAGTAGTGCAGTAAACCTAACCACAGAGGACATGTATCATCACCTGTGCTTAAAGGAAAACTCTGTAACACTTTATAAATCACACGGGGTTCCCTGGTAATACTTGTCCTGTGTGAACGGGGCTTAAGACACAAAAACATGAGTCCAGGTTGTGAAATACCACACTACCCCTTTAATGCTTGGCGCCACTAGCAGCACCTGCCCTTACCTAAACACTCCAGCAGCAGGTATATTAAAGAGGACTGTGTGTTCTCTGAATACTTCTCCAGCTCCTGCAGGTTTCTGTAGGCTCTGTCATCCAGATCCTTCTCCTGGTAACACACACAGTTACAATGACTGATAGATGACATAGTTACATGTTAGTTTACAAAGTGTTTATAGAAAGCAGTGGTTTGAAACAGGACATCGGGCTTCATTCACAAACAGTGCTGGAAATTAGCACCAGCCACCGGCCAAATGTTGGTGACATTTACAAGTAGCTGCTTTACTCACCGGACAAAAAAACAATGGTTATGTGTTGGCAGGTAGACAGAAAGATAATTTCCAACCCTGTTCATCGACCATTCTTAAGAAGACATTTCCTCTCAAAACACTTACGCAGTTTTTACAAAGATTCTGACAATCAGCAGGAGAAGGCAGCGGGTGACTATAAAGAAGGAACAGATCATGTAAATGAGGAGTTGTGTCTTACTCTCTCTGTTATGATCCTCAGCAGCCATCTCTTGGTCAGGCAATGTTTCCTCACCGCCTGCAACACATCATCCACACTGTTAAACAGCTGAAGTGCTCCAGTTAGCCAGTTTGATGTCCCTCAGCTAAACGTGAACACAGTGACCAAACAGAAACACACTGTGTGGTACATTTATACTCAAGCTGGACATGCGAAAGAGTTGCTATTGACATGACAATAAAAACAACTGAAAGTAATGACACTAACAACCTCAGCTTGCGTCAGTCGGTTTCCGTCACTGACTACTCGGCTGATTTTGAAACCAAATATTTAACGTGACTGCTCTGCTCTCTATAGGTCCATATTTACCCTCCACAGCTCGGCGCTGACCGGCTGGTTCGGAGGCTCGTCTCTGTAGATTTCTTCTATGGCCGTCTTCCAGAACTGCATTCGCATCAAGCCAATGGTCTTCTGGGAAACGGAGTCCTTCACCTTATGGAGAAACAAATACAGGAAGGTAATTGTTCGACAAGGTAGTTTGAAAAGGACTGGGATCAGAAAATAGACAAAGTAAACTTTTTTTTTTTATTATTATCAGGCTTATACTTGACATTACCATCATTATTATTATTGTTTTATTTTTTATTTTATTTCAACAGAAGCAGACGCAGTAACCTAAGAAGTGGTGCCAACAGTGTAACAGTAATAGTAGTTCAGTAATAACAGCAGTAATATCAGTTATCATTACTCATCCTGCCTGGCTGTAGGACTACCTGCCTGTGCCAGCTCCACATTAAAAGCTCTCAGAGCCAAAGAGGAGCGCTGTGCCTCCTCTGGGAGAAGGAGGGAGGACACGAAGCCGTCATAGTCTCTGGACCTGAGAAAGAGGGGGAAGAGATGGAGGAGGAGAGAGGGAGGAGGACAGACTGATGAGATGCAGTTGATTTAATTTGTCCATAGTTAGAGTTTCTATTTCATTCTTTATTTTCAAAACTTTTCCACAACTTCTCACATAAGCTTAAAAACATTTTTCGATGATCGTTTTCATTTTGTCCGAGTTCAACTGCACAAAAGTGAGTCAGCCAATACAAAAATTTTCAATACAGCTTTTTCTTTGGAAACCAAGAGATGAAAACTTTTGATATCATCAGAAATATGATCAGCCTCCACCACAGCCGCTTACAACAAAAGCTTTTAAAATAAAATTGAGATTTGTTTGAGACATTCAGCAGTCTGTGCTGAACAGCTGCTTTCATTTTTAACACATTCCCAAAGTCCATCTTTTAAATATACACAATAAACTGTGTCGTTTTTTTTCCCAAAACACATTTCAATTGCTGAAAAAGAAATTTCATCATGAAAATATTCAATGACTTCACCAACTTGTGAAGCGATGTGAAAGTTTGTGTTAATTCTGACTGAATATGATCATACAGCCTGAGTCAGCAACCTGACTGAAATAAAAGGGAGGTACATGAACACTATTTCATAGTTTGAACAGTTGAAACTACATTTAAACAGAGGCAGAATGTAACTATATACTGTTACTTAAGTACTGTACTTAACTACAATTTTGAGGTACTTGAACTTAACTGGAGTATCTCCATTTTCAGTTACTTTATACTTTGACTCTACAAAATTTCCGAGGCAGATTCTGTACTTTTTACTCCACTACCTTTATTTGACAACTTCATTTACTTAATAATCAAGTAATCAATTGAAATCAGCCCCACTTTCACAAGCTGCAACATTAAAGTGATGCTTACACATGATGTATCACCCAATAATAGCGTATTATAAGATGGGAAATTCTGCATAACGCAGACTTTTACTTTTGGTACTTAAAGGGGGAAAAAATCAATACAGCAATATCATATCATAACACAGTGCCAAGTATCAATTTTTTATCATATAAATGATCAATATTACAAATACAAATTAAACTTTAGGTAGCCTACTGATATAATATAATGAACTGCGTTTTCAGTCCACTAGATATAAAAAAAAGGCTGAAGTGAGATGAACAGACTGAAAACTTTATCTTATGAGATAAAACAGATGTTGACAATTTATAATCAATTTATCAATTTATAATTGAGAAAAGGTAATAAGTTGTAATATATTTTATCACAATACTCAGCATATCGCAACATATTTAAAATGCAATAATAGTGTCTCATGACTTAAGTATCGTGATAATATCGTATCATGGATCCTCTTCTACTTTAAGTTCATTTTGATGCTAATTGTTTTGTATTTTTACAGGGATGCATTGATAATATCAACATGTCATCTGTATCACCAAATATCGACTTTAAAATGAATTTTCAGAATCAGCCATCATGCTTTTTCTTATTTTGCACAATGAATGAATATTACATATACTGAAAAGTATTGTATTTCATGTCTCCATCTGCTGGTGGGTCATCATGATAAGAGTATGTATGAATAATGTGATGTTATTTCCACTACAGAAGAGACTTGATGATCATTAAAATTAGGTGGGAAAAAAGTGGATATATTGATATCACTTATCGGCCAAATGAGTTGTTACATATCGGTATACTGGATATCGGCAAAAAATTCAATATCGTGCATCCCTAATTCTGACTCAATTTAAATGCAGGACATTTACTTGTAACTACATGTTTCTCAGTCAGATGGATGGAGCCGAACTGAACAATAACTACAAAATATCTAGAAAGTACACTTAGTTTTTAATAATATATTCTGATTGTCAAGAATTCTTGCGGTGTCTTTATTTACACCGGATTTTTTAACGAAGTCTGGCATGAAGCTGTCTCAAACTTCCAAGTTTTACTTCCACATGTGAGTTATCCTTTTACATGAGAGCTGAATCTCTTTAAACTAGGGACAGACGGTATCAGGACATATCGAGCCGTTAAATAAAGCGGTCACCTGCTCTGTGAATGTAACTTAACTTCACTTTAGCCGGCCGGTGTTGTTAGCAGTAAGCTAGGTGCAGTCAGACCCACCTGACCAGCTCCAGACAGTACTTCTCATTGAACTGGGAGTCTGTTGTCGCGCTGGTTGCCGCTCTCACACTCTGGATCTCAGCCGCTCTCTGGACACAGATGCTGGGTAAAATCTGTCTGTGAAGAGCGTGATACAGTGACGTTTTACTGCTCAGTAATCCATGTTTAGCACTGATGCCTGCTGCCATGTTCCCCTTCAACTTTCACCTTTATGTAGCTTGTGTCACGTTAAAAACATTCCGACCAGACTTCACTTTAAAATACGCTTCATTTGATTAAAAAGAGTCGCTATTCATCTATTAACATTAATACACCTTACAGATAAAATATGAAACAGTAAATGTGTTAGATATCGTGTCAGAATCACACAAATATATCAGTGACATAACATGACCGTTTGAATAGCAATACCGGAAACCCGACGATGCTGCCGCCAAAATAAGAGCAGCAAATATTTCACTGACAGGTCACACGGATCTGTACTCGTGAAAAAAGAAATAAAAACCACATTACTTGTATTTCATGTCTTTTACGTGTCTTGTAAGAGAGAATCACACAGACTAGTTTTCGCTGTAACTTAATATCGAGCTTTTGTCTTTTTATTTTGAAGAACTACCGGAAGAAGCCACGGTGTTTTTCATTTGAAATTAGATTCTAAATTTTTTCGACAACTTTTGTTATTAAAATCTGTAATATATTGAATATATTCAATAAAGTTTGAAAAAATAAAATAATAATTAAAATCATATATAACTTTGGTTTTCAACAGCGGGTCCGCGACCCCTAGGGAGTCCTTAAAGTTACTGCAGAGGGTCCACCAAATCATGAGCTGTGCATTTGAGGACTGATTACGTCACGACCAAGACTGTCCCATTTCGAAGGCTCCTTCAAATGCAGCCTTCTTTCCCAGGATTCAGAGGATGCAACGGATGAAACGTTCGTAGCCCAGCATATCCCAAGACGCATTGCACGTCGGTGACAATCACAAATTAAGTTAGGTTAACTGTTAACTAGCTAATGGTAAACTGTTGTTAACATTACAAATAGCTAAAAGCACACAGCTTAAACAATCCTAATTTAATAAGTTTACCTGAAAACATTCCATCAGCCTGAAATATATCAAACTGCGGTGTTTCCGGTGGTGAATCATCTCCACAAATATATCATAACAATTTCTGGGTTCAAGATTTAGGGCTAACTAACCTACTAGCTTACTCCTTCTTTAGTCAAGCACAGCTGGTCGCTAGGTAACAGTAACGCCAATGGGTTGGGCAAAAACAGCTGATGATGCAACCAGGAAATCCTCCACAGACCACACTGTCCCATTTCGGAGACCGTTCAGTTTGGCTGATGCAGTCTTCATAGGACGTGGCCGACGCTGACCGCGAAGGTCGTGTCCTAATTGTGACATCAGGATCTCATAATTACGAGATCTTATGTTGTATTCATGAGATACAGGGTCCTTTTTTTCTTCAGTAAATGCAATGCATAATACTCTGTCTGGGATTAGGAGCATACAAATGTTACTAGTTACTTTACTTGTTTTTTTTTTCATTGAAATTTATAAATAATTTGTGAAATATCATGTTTCGTTATGAATTAAATTACCCAACAGTTCATAAAAGCACAACTGAAACAATCAGTCCATTAATCAATGACAGAATATTGACAGAAAATTAAATTATAATAATTGTAAAGCATTTGGATTCACTACTTTTACAAACCAAACACTCAATTAATGAAGAAAATATCCAGCAGATTAATTCATAATGACAATAATAGTTCAAAATGAGCTCTACCTCAACAAACTACAACTGTAAAATCCTGCTTTTACATTAATGCAGATTTTAAATTAATTAGTTATGACCGTCTCATGAGATCATATGAAGGAGTGTCACAGTCACAGGAGACTTTTTTTACTTTAAGATTTGAAACGCAGCGCTTAACAGAGTAGTTCATGGTTCCACAGGACAGATGACGTGTGGCTGTGAACCACGCGGAGACAACAGTCAGGAGTAGATGACGGTCATGTGACGACACTGCGTCAAGTTACTACATTACGTCAAAATACCGGAAGCATGTTGATATTCCTTTCAAAATAAAACATTAAACGAATGTGCTGTGATTTAACAAATACAACACAATTATGAAATTCAGAAAAATAATGGGAGAAGAACACAGAAGTTTATTTTATTTTATTTTATTTATTTATGGATTTATTTGCTTTTAGAAATCTTTCTTCTCTGATTTTTGGTTTTCATTTCACGATTTTATGTTATCCATACATACAGGCCCCTTTTACTCGTCATATTGCTTTAAGAAATACTTATGTATGTTTTTCCACATCAATATTATCTTTAGCACAAAAACTGTTTTTGCATGTTTTCTTTTGAATTGTATAGAAAACATGTTTCCCGCAGTAAGAAAAAAAAAAAAATACAGCACTTTAAAGTTGCACACCCTGGGACAACCTCCTGCTCAACTGGTGTGTGCACCATGTAGGCTGATGCAGGATTTATACTTCTAGGTCGAATCGACACCATGCCTACGGCGCACCTCCTTAGAAATGTAACTACACGTCTCAGTGACGCAGACCTCCTGCCTGTTTCTGTAAGCTGAAACCATTTCCCTCAGTGGAAACAAAGCTTGTATTTACTTTAATTTCACAGATAAGACAACAATAAATTGTGAAGACAATAAAGCCTCCACTAAAGGAAATCTCCACTAGTCGCTAGGCTAATTTATACAATGTAAAATGCCATAGGCTTGTGCTAATAACGTTAGCATGTTGTATTTGTGGGGAAAATGTGTCCAGATAAAGACAAGTGTTTGTCTGTGAATGCTGCGAGTTATAATGAAAGAGATTTGTGTATTTGTGTTTGAAATTGTCACTGTTAAGCCATGTTTAATGTGTGTTTAATGTGTGTTTAATATGTGTTCAAAGTGTGTTTTGGGCAGGTTTTGAATTTACTAAACTTTACAGCACTCCACAGAAATCCCGCCTCTGACTAGTGCTTTGGAGGTATAACTGCAGAGTGACACAGACACACCACCGCACAAATATAAATGCTCACAACAGTGTAGGTCATGTGCGTAGGCTACGGTGTAGGTTCTGTCGTACAAGTATAAACCCCCCTTGAATTCTTGCAGTGGCCTGGGCTCGATCGCAACCTGCGGCCCATTTGTTGCATGTCATCCCACTTCTCTCTGCCCCCTTTGCTGTAATCCTCGAGCTGTCCTAAAACATAATATTTAAAACAAAGGTGTATATCACTCCCCAAAGCCAAAATTAGAAAACATAAGTCCCTCCCCGGTGCTTAAAAAATATTTGACATGCCTTTGCACCTCCTCGCCCCCCTTAGATAACGAACAGTCCCTTAGTAAAATCAGACGTTGTATGTATCTCATACGTTTTACTTACTAGAAGCATTTACATTTTCATAATTACTAGCTAACCCCCTGTCATTACCTGGCGGAAATGAGCTTTCATTAAAATGCTTAAAAATAAATGAATACATTTGCTGATACGGCGGACTTTTGTTTTGTACAGTAACCGGAAGTTGTGTATTTTCCGTTTGTTTACTTTGATGCTGTGTGCTAGCTGGATGATGTGTGGTCCAGCAGAAGGAGAGGAGCGTGGCAGGCTAGTCTTCCTCCTCATATGGCAGCAGTGTTGGTGAAATGTCCGTTTGTGTGGCCGCTGCTGTGGCTCAGCGTCCGGCTGTCCGAGACCCAAAACACCCGGTAAGACCGCCGGTTGTTGTGTTTGTGAGCTAGCCGCTAATGTTAGCATGCTAACTGTTAGCTTGTGTGAAGACTGAGAGAAGTCAGTCCAAACTTGTTTCATTTCCTCGTGACCGTTAGCTGGATGAAAAGGGGAGTTTGTGGTAAAATATATTGAACCTATAATCCTGCTGACACACCAAGTAACGTTACACACGCTAACCTCACGTGCAGCTGTTGAGCAACAGTATCTGGTCTTTAGCTAAAACTCTTATCTGGAGGTACAAAGTTCACAGATGAGACAAACTGACCTCAGACACGAAACGGCTTTACGCCTCTTATTTCATTTAACATGTAAATGAGTAACTTCAATTTTTGTAAACATAAACATATTAAAATGATGGCTGTTGGATTTTATCTGTCACACTGATAGCATTTAGTACATTTATTATTTTTATGTACCGTGTTTAATTTAACGCCAACAGTCACATCATGAGTCTGTCATCATGTTTCGGCTTCATTCTTCAAGGAAACTGACAGTTGCAGTGAAAATTTCGCTGCATTGACACAAGATGGCGCTGTTGGATCACAGCTACTGTCATAAAGCCTGAATGCTATAATTAAGCTTTATTTGTCCTGAGAGGGAAGTGCAGTGCAAAGTGCAAATAAAACAATAAACAATCAGTAAGATGCTAAAACCACACAATGCCAGAAATGCACACACCTTACCTGTCTCACCTCTTTCACCTGTGTCACCTGACAGTATGAGGTTGCACACAACTTGCAAAAATACTGATTTTAATGCTGCAATGTTTCGGTAAGCAGACCTTCATCAGGCAAACAGTTTTGTCACAAAGAGAAGCCCTCACAAGTAGGAGTGAGTTTGCGATCAGTCACATATCCCACATGTAGTGGGAAGGCATAAATACCAAACATCTATTTGTGTGATCATCTACAATATAATAATAACAATAATAATAATAATAATAATATTAAAGTTTATTTAAAAGGCACTTTTTAAAACAAAGTTGCAAAATGATCCTGGATTTAAAACAATGCAGAATTCAAGCAAATAAAATTAGGCAATTTTAAGAAAATACAAAGAACAAAAAATACGATAAATGCATGTTCTCCCTGTGTCAGTGTGGGTTTCCTCCAGGTGCTCCAGCTTCCTCCCACAGTCCAAAGACATGCAGGTTAATTGGTGACTCTAAATTGTCCGTAGGTGTGAATGTGAGTGTGAATGGTTGTCTGTCTCTATGTGTCAGCCCTGTGATAGTCTGGTGACCTGTCCAGGGTGAACCCTGCCTCTCACCCAGTGTCAGCTGGGATAGGCTCCAGCACCCCGCGACCCCTAACAGGATAAAATACTGTCACTGAAGCAGATCAGCAAAGTTGGCAACTAATTGCCCTGTAGGTTGCACTGAGGTACAGCAAATCAAACTATTAGAGTAATATGAAATAAAGGAATACAATAACTGATGACAACACAAGATAAAAACAATAAAAATAATCAAGTGAGACATGTATAAAATTAACAGTGTGCTGAAATTAATAAAAGGCTTTTTTGAACAGACGTTTTAAGAAGCGATTTAAAAGATGTCACTGAGTCAGCAGCCTCAGATCCGGGAGGCCAGGAGCTCCAGGGCTGAGGGGCCTTGCTCCCCTTTAGTTTTGAGCCGGGACTGAGGAACAGCCAACAGAGCCCTGCCTGAGGATCTGAGGCTGCGTCCTGGCTCATAGGGCAGCAGCATCTCAGCAATTTAGCTGGAGGATGAACGATAAAGTGCCTTAAACGTGATCAGCAAAATCTTAAAATTAATTCTGAAACTGATGACCAGTGAAGAGAGGCTAAAACAGGGCTGATATTATACACAGATCATAAACATACCTCAGAATGTTTTTATTAAATAGGTAACTTTAGTCATCCTGAGGGAAATGCTTGTTGCACACAGTAGGAAAGAATGCAAACATATTTAGTGCAAATAAAACAAAATATAAACAATAAAATAACAATAATATGCAAAAAACAAGAAGTTAGAAGCAGGCGTTTTTCAGTGATGTTTGGACAATATCTTTCTCTGCAAAATTACTTGTCAAAAAAGTTTCATCACACATCACATTTTGGGTTTACTTAACTCAGACCTGATGTCCTTGTTTGTGGACACTTTTTTGTTCCATCTAGTGGTAGTGAGAGCACAATACACTAATCCATGTAAAAACAAAATGGCAGCCATCTCTCCCGACACAAAGTCCAAAACCTGATCACATTTTATGAATGAAACTTGTTTATTTATGATTAATAGAATAGAATAGAAAGAACTTTATTATATGTTTAATAATAATTTTTATTTATACTGATCCCAAATAGCTCGGACAAATAAGAAATGCATACTAAACAAAAACTCAAGACAAAGGTCTCAAGAGGTTAAATCGTTATCTTTAACAAAATGAAAAGGTCTGCAGTAAAAGTTAAACACTAAAATAATGAGGAAGGATATTGACGTTTAGACAAACTAGATAGAGCACGGATTGTGTTTACTCACGAGGCAGGAGGAAACCACAGCTCAGTCCTTTTAAAAAACACATTCCCTCATGTGATGAAACCTGATTTTACCAACTGAGGCTGTGTGATGAAATCTACTCCAAGAAATGAGTCAACATGAAGACTGACCCAACGCAGGATTTATTTATCAACACTGAAAACATGTTTTTACTCCGACAGCTTCCCCCTGAGGATCTGACCGCCGTCATGTTTGAGCTCTTTTAGAGTGGTGGGAATGTTTTTCTTTCTGCCGCTGAGTCAGCAGATTTTTACTTTTCAAAAACAAAATTAGCAGTGAATTGAGATTTTATTGGTGTATATTTTGGATTTAAAATTCGGGTAATTCGGGTATTCCTGGCCAAGACAGGCAGCAACATAAGTTGCAGACAGACAGCATAGGACAAAAATACAAAATAAAAAATACACAGTAGACGCGCCTGCAGTGTTGTCTGGTTATGTTCTGCCTGTAACAGCAGTATTTAGACTAATGCAACAAATGTTTGCTGTCCCTATTTTTATATATTAAAAGAAGCTTAGTATTGGTTGCCAATTTCTAAAAATTGTTGTAAATGGCAACCTGGGAACTGTTACTATTGAGCCGTGGGGTTGTGCTTACTTATTTAATTTAATTTTTTTGTTATTTTATGAGCTGTGCTTGCTGTGAAACGACCTATCTTAATGTAAACTGTTGTGAACAGGATCTTATTGTTGCAACAAAAAAGGTCAAAATGGATGTGCTTCTTTTAAAAAATCTGCTTGTATCATCTTTATTTCAAAAATCTATAAAAAACAAAACAAAAACAAGACTGATTAGTCTTAGTTGCAGACCGACTCGTCTTTGGTCAGACTCTCTAACTTATGTCAATCAACAAAAGAGGTGGTAAGAAATGAAGTGGACTTTGGCAGGTGTCAAAACACCTGGTGCAGCTCAGAACTGATGCATATCAAACATATGTAGAATCACACACACCACAGTTGTTATTTTAAATTGTTTCTCTCTTAACCTCGTTTTTAAAAACATTTTAAAACAGTATTACTTTGTTTTCTCTCCTCGCAGAGTCTCTATGGACGATGACATCCTGCTGCCTTACAGCCACGGCCACGGTCCCTCCCACTCTCACCGCCATGTCAGAGACTGTCAGCCACTTGTTCACGGCAACGTCACCCACGAGAGCTGGCCCTCCAGTGACCACAGTGGGCTGCCGGTGGCCGAGTCCACAAAGTTCGTCTCGGCTGTGGCGGAAAACACCAGATGGGTTTACGGTCCGTAATCATTGAGTCACAAGTTACAGGAACACTGAGTGTAGTATAATGTACAGGGAGCGGGTCATTATTGTAAAATGAACCCTGACAGGGTGATGTAGGACCCGACAGGAAGCAGAGGGGGCCTGATAGAATCACCCTGAGGGCACTCTGGACCTGCTCATTGTACATTATCCTTCTTATTACACGGCTACTTGCTAATGATATCAATATTTTGACACAAACTTTAGAAATGACTTCTGACTGTTGCCTCTGCTCAGCATCTCTGATCAAAACTGTGTTCAAAGCAACAGTCTATTAGTCATAGCAACGGTCTGCTATCATTATTGACCAATCAAAATTAGGATTCCACAAAGCCGTGTAATAAATAACTGAGTGCAAACGGTTTAAACTGATCTGGGGCTGTATTGACAAACGTCCTAGTACAAAGAGTTGCTCCTGCTGACGAAATTCTAAGAAATTTCTTGGAAGTTAAGACTAGGTCCTGGTAAAGATAAAGTTATCTTTGCCCTTAAAAGAGCTCCTAAGGTGAAAACTGTTAGGAGCAGGGAGGAGGACTTTTAAGAAGTTCAAGAGTTTCTTAATCAGAGGAGAAAATGGTGGGAACACAAAGAGGTCGGAGAAATATTCTCCAAACACTGAATGACAGTGAGTAAATGAAATGCCACGGATTAGATCGGGCAGGAATAATATTTGTGGTCGATCTCATGAGGGGTATGCATGCATTTCCCACCTAAAGCAATAACGTTATAATACCAGAAATAAAATAATCAAAAAGTAAGAAAGGAGCAGCGATGAGTTGGGTCGGCTTCAACCCTCCATCGGCGGAGAGATCACACTAACAATGAGAACACTGTCACAGCCTGCAGTTCATTTCATTTCCACTGGGTGTCCACACCTTACAGGCTCACAAAGGGCGTGTCTGTGACATCCAATCACACCTGTTAAAAAAATGTGTCACACTTAGCAACAGGGTCAACCACACCCGCTCACTAAGGTAGAGGTTTCAGTCTCTTGCTCAGAGTTGCACTGAGAACTTTCCTAAGTCACTCCTTAGCAAAGACTCCTCACTAAAAATGTTAAGGTAGGAGCTCTCTGATTTTGTTCTCAGAATGTTTGTGAATACGGCCCCTGGTCTCTGTGTTGAACGTGGATCTGATCCTTGTTTGGTGAACCTCTGATTTATTGATCCATCTGTTTATTTATTTGCTGCCTGACCTCTGATCCATTTATTCAAACTGACATAAAAACTGGTGGCAAGAAGTCGTGTCATCTGTGGTCTGCAAAGACAATACCACTGATTAAATACCAGAGTTGTTCCCATACTGATACCAGTGTTGGAAGTGCCTCAGATTCTGCTTAACATGCTGGATCGACCCGTATGACAGTCTATGCTATCAATCCGATACCACCTAATTTATTGATAAAGTTCAAAGAAGTTTCACACCAAAATAAAATAACAGTTTTCCTGGAAATCAGTTCTTCTTCGCTGCTCTAAAACAGGAACCTGCACAGCAACAACCACTGTTTAGAGCAGTGAAGAAGAATTGATTTCCTGTAAATAGTGGAATGTTAGCTGTTAGCAACATGGCAACAATTTGGCAACATTTTTCTATGGTTTATAGAAAGTTCAGCAGCAGTCATTTTGTATTTGATCATGTCTTAGAATGGGTTTAACCTGAGCTGTGCCACACAACCATGATAGCAGTCATTTCACATCCATACTGGGTTAATAGTATACATGATTTATTTTAAAGCACTGGTATTGGATCAATACCTCGTGTCAGAAATCTTGGCATGATATTTGACGCTGCCTTTAAGTTTGACAAACAAACAATGCAGTCGTAAAAGCCAGCTTTTTACAGCTCCACACCATTTCCAAAATCAAGCCATTTCCAGACCTTGAGACAGTCACCCACGCTGTCATCTCCTCACGTTTAGTCTACTGTAACTCTCTGTACACTGGTATTAGTCAGTCCTCTCTGTCCCGCCTCCAGCTGGTTCAGAATGCTGCTGCCAAACTCCTCACAGGTACCCAGAGAAGAGACCACATCACATCTGTTGTAGCCTCTCTCCACTGGCTGCCTGTAAAGTTCAGAGTTGATTTAAGGTTCTCCTGTTTGTTTACAAAGCCCTTAATGGTCTGGCCGCATCCTACATCAGAGACCTCCCTGGGGCTCCCGGCTGTCCTGCGCTCCAGATTCAAGCTCAGGGGTGATCATGCCTTTGCTGTGTCTGCCGCCAAACTGTGGAACAGCATCCCCCTCTCAATCAGATCTGCCAACTCCACTGACTCATTTAAGTCCAGGCTCAAAACTTACTTTTATTCATTAGTGTTTGTGTCCCACTGATTTGGTTTTCCCTGACACGTGCCTGTGTGTGTTGTGTCTCTAAGTGTGTGAGCTGTGTACCTGACAGTTATGTTGCCTCTCATGTGTGTGTTTAGCATTTTATTCCTTTTGTACAGCACTTTGATTGAGTTAAGAATACCCGTTGTTGGTTGAAACACAAGTTCAGGTACTGACATTGGTATCATGAAGGAAAAAATGGTATGGGAACATCTGTATTTATACCATGTGACAGTAGGTCAGAGGACGCTGATTTAATAGTGATGTCACTTTCTATTCTAATTCTGATTTGTCTGTTTTGACTTTGTGTTCCTGAAGCATCTCTTTGTGTCATTGTTTCCAGGTCACATGACGGTGGTCCACGACCCGCTGAGGGCGGTGTCGGTATTAGAGCCAGGTGGGCCGGGCGGCTGCGGGATGAATCAGAGAGCTACAGTGGAGGAAACAGCTGAGGCTGCCGGGTGTCTGTACGCCCAGAACGCCGGCTTCTTCAACACAAAAACAGGCCAGTGTCTGGGCAATGTGGTGAGTGACGGCAGTAGGGTCCAGGACAGTGGTGGGCTGCAGAACGCACAGTTTGGAATCAGGAGAGACGGCACTCTGGTGTTTGGGTAAGAATTCCAATCAGTTCACCCAGATTATAAATAACATATTGTCTTTAGTAGCACCCGAGTATTGCTAGAGGAGCTCATGTGACAGCTCAAATCCACCGGAAACAGTGGCTCTCAGGCTGTTGCTCAAACTACAGATTGTACCTCCACAATATGCATGCCCGCCACCATGGTCACAAAAAGTATAGAAGCGTATTTAGAGAGACCTCTGTTTACAGACCTGTGACATTATCCTCACTACTAGCAGTCAGCTCAGCTGCCTGTTGCACCAGACTAACCTCTGGTGGCGTGTGATCTGCACTACATACAATACACCCTTATCACAGCCTCTCCAGTATGAGGGTTAGTTACATTAGCCACCAGCAGGACATTTACTGGTTTGGTGTGGCGCAGTGCATTCTGGTAGTTGTAGGTTGTCTACCTCTTGGGCTGCAGCCCCTTTTTCTCTGTTTTCTCTGGTCATGTAGCACCAATTACAAAAGTATTTGTGTCTGCTGCATAGACAGACTAGTGTAATGAAAAGACCATCTTTCCAGCAGTGAAATACTTTGTGGGCAGTTCCACGTCATTTATATGCAACCTTAATTAATTAGATCAGTGATACTCAGTGGTTTTCATGGTGACTATGGACACTTTGTTAAAAAAAGGCTTTATTTACAACCTAATACACACCTATTAGGCACAAAGAAATTCCACGAAATACAGCAGGTTTTTTACTAACTGTAGAAGCTGCAAGATTACAACAGTCAGCACAGTAACAGCTTTTATTTTGATAAGGCACGGGCCACCATTCCTCATGAGAGTTATCATCAGTGCTGGAGCGTGTCTGACTTTCAGCCCCCGTCTCTCTGCCTTTCTGCACCTGACGTCACGTTTCTGAGATATCGTCTCTCGTCACGTTAAACTGAGCTGCTGTTCCTCCTCTCAGGCAGTTTAGTGACTTCCTGTTTCATGGGCCAGTAACTTATAACATCTGGTTCCGTTTAATAAACCACTGAAAAACAATCCACAGATGATGGGTTCATTGCAGCATGACTCACTGTTATCCAGAGACATTTACCTGGTTTCAATTTGACTGATGAAACAAATGAAATTATGAGTTATTTTAAATACTGCTTCACCCAACATTTTAAAATATGCTGATGCTGAGAAATAATTCTGTGTCCTTGAATCCTCCCCAGTGATACAACTGTATATTTACAATGCCACTGTAAAGTCAACAGTTACCCACCACACAGACAAACACACATGCTCACACATTTCATCTATAGCCTAAACTATGAACAGGTAAATTTAACCTGTTGGTTTGATACCTGAGGTCAGTAATCTCTAAAGTTTCCTACATGATGCAACCATCTGTGGGTGTGGAGGGTCAAACGCCCAGAGGAAGAGAAGCTCGAACAAAATAAACATTAGTATACCACACACACACACACACACACACACACACACACACACACAGCAAACCAAAAACATGATACAACCAGTCTTTGTCCTGCTTTGGTCCGTCTGTGTGAAACATGTCAGTCAGGTTATTTAAAAAAAAAAAGTTGCCATTTTGTGGATGAAGCAATATTTTCTATTTTAAATGAGTTAAAATAGAAAATATTGCTTCATCCACAAAATGGCAACTTTTGTCCCTGTGTGATGCAACAGTGTGTTAGAAATTAGTGGCCGTATTCACAAACATTCTGAGAACACTCTCAGGGAGCTTAAAATCTTTTAATAAAGAGTCCGAGCTTAGGAGTGATTTAGGAAAGTTCTCAGAGCAACTCTGAGCAAGAGACAGAAACCCTTACCTTAGTGAGGAGGTGTGGTTGACCCTGTTGCTAGGTGTGATGCCTTCTTTTAGCAGGTGTGATTGGTTGTCACAGACAAGTCCTTTTGGTGAGCCTGTGAGGTGTGGACACCCAGTGGAAATGAGATGAACAGCTGACTGTGACAGTGTTCTTATTAGCCGCTTTTACACTGCCAGATTTTTTGGCTGACGAATGTAGAACGAATGTTGGGCCGTTTTGCCGGCAAGCTGCGAGCGTTTAGACACACAGAGCCGGATTGGCGAGTTGATCCGAGGTGCCCAATTTTCCGCCTCGTAGGGTAGACATATTGGCGGAACCTTTTTGGTTTACACAGACCTAGGCGGCCTACTGCAATGGGAGGGGCTGTTGAAGACTTGTGGGAGGAGCTGTTGATGACGCCGCACGTGCGACCCACTGGTGGTGGATAAACAGGAAACAGCTGATAGCAGGAATTAGCGAGCAGCTAGTAGCAAGAGGGAAACACAAACCTGATAGACACTGTAAAGATGAGCAACTGGGGAGACAAGGAATTGCGCGCCTTCCTTGTCCTCGCAAACGAAGAGGCCATTAACCGTCAGATGACGGGGACGGTGAAGGACGGGCTGATTTACGAGAGAATCGCCGAAGGACTGAACAGCCGCGGCTTCCCTCCCACGTCACTGTTTACGTCACACGCTGAGCTACACGTTTTGTTACTTGCTCACGCCCCCCATTGCCCCGAAAAAGGCGCATTCTGTAAACAAAAGTAGGTAGGCAGCATTTTGCTGCACTCCCCGATTTTGCTTTTATACCGCCAATGCTGAAAAAAGACTGATTGGGCTTTGCTGCAAATTTGCACAATTCCTGTTTAAAAAGGGCCATTGTTAGTGTGATCAGTCTGTGGATGGAAGGTTGAGACAGACTCTAGTCATCACTGCTGCACTGTTGGATTTTTCCAGTTTGTCAGGTGAGGTGGGAAATGTGTGTGTATCCCTAATGAGATCGACCACAAATATTATAATATAATATATCCCGGCACGATTTCATCTGTAGCATTTCATTTAATCACTGTCATCCAGCGTTAGAATATTTCTCTGACCTCTTTGTGTTTCCACCATTTTCTCCTCTGATAAAGAAACTCTTAAGCCTCTCAAAAGTCCTTCTTGCTGTTCCTGACAGTTTTTCACCTTAGGAGCTCTTTTAAGGTCCAAGATAACTTTTATTTTTACAAGGACCTAGTCTTAACGTTAATAGAAAATTCTAAGAAGAAAAGCGACTCTTTGTACGAGGACGCTTTGTGAATACGGCCCCAGATTTCTGCCAGTTGTTATCTTTATCTAAACCCTCAGCTCGGATCAGCAGTGTCTCTTTGTAGAAACAGTATGTTTTTGTTAATGTCCTTATGGCAAGCCATTTAATCAGTAGCGACAGTAGCAATTGTAGCTATCAGCGCTTTTGACTTGGTTTGAATTCCAAGCCAACATAATATGATTTTGTCTTGTAGTAGTTCTAAATAAACATATCTATTACTCATCAAAATGTTGACTCTTGATATCAACAATTAATTTCATACTAGTGGAAATGTTCATCAGATATCTGGAACCTGATTACAGCCAGTCAACTTTTGCCATTGACTTCTATTCAGTCATAATAACAGATTTCTATAATTCAGTTTTGACATTTAAATTCCAAGTTGACATATTAGTTATATAATCTTGACTAGCTGAAATTCTAAATAATGATATCTACATCTTAAAGCTGGCCCCGCTCACTCACAAGTTCTCCAGCTGCTTCTCTGTTTAATCTGTCTGTTTATTAGTCTACAGTGTGACATCAGTCTATATGTTACACGTGCTACGCTAAATCAGTCTGTGAGATGAATGAAATGACCACAGCACACGTGCAATCCAGCGCCGCAGCATGGCACCTCTCCAGCTGCCAGTCCACGCTCCATATTTGGGCCGGTGGTTTGCTTCTTGTAGTTGAGAAGAAGTAGCATAAAATGTAAATACTCAGAAAAGGTACCCTAAAAATTCTGCTTAAGAACAATACTTGGTTACTTTTCACCACTGATGTCTGTGCTCTCTGATCCAGTGAATTTTAATAACTGTCAATGTAATGTATGTCATCACATTGATGCTAAAATGTTGTTAATTAGGTTAATAAAAACACAAGTGTAAAAAAATGACATTACAATATCATAATGTTAAAACATGATTCCTTCCTAGCTGTACTCCATTTAAGTGTGTCCATGTTAGGACCTTGAAACTCTTCATACTGACTCACTGACAGGACTTACGGGGACACCACAATGGAACAAAGTGAGCGATTATGTTATTAGCTCCATCTGTGCTCTGCCTGCTGTTTAAAAGCTGGTCACCTTAAGTTTAGTGTCAGTTAAGGTGAGTGATGCAGAGATAAAAACTGAACGTGCTGGAATGACCTGAAGTTCTCGTGCAGAGGTCTAAATGTCAGGCCAGGACACTGCAGTTGTAAACACTTAGTTGATCAAACATATTAAAGTACCCAAAATACCATTAAAACCAGTTTACCAGCTGGTTTCACCATTTCAGCGGACTTACCGTACACTGTAGTGATAAAAAAACAAACCCGCTTTTGGCTGCTTGATCTGGCTGGTAATTTAAGGTGAGGTGATATAAGGTAAGGGGACTCCTCACCTTGAGTTGAGGTAACGTTACAGGAGTAAAAATAACCAGAGAGGTCACAGCAGTCAGAGCTGTGTAAGTGCACCTGTGGCATCTCGCCAGCTACCAATACATCAGTATCAACAACTGGATCTGGGTTAAAGCCGTCAGAATAAGAGACAGGAAGCTGCAGTATGAACTGACTGAAGGATTACAGTTTATTACAAGAGATAGACTTTTAAAGTAAGTTCAGTATTCTAGTACTCGCATTAAATTATGAGGGTGATATCTCAAGAATGCCTTTAAAAGAATGACTTCAAATTTGGCACAAACGTCCTCTTGGGCTCAACGTTGAAGTGGTTAGTTTTTGGTTGTCAGATTTTTGCATCGGTCTCATTCTCGTGAGCAAGAAATCTCAAGAACACCTGAGCGATTTTCCTCAAATTTGGCACAGCACGTCCACTTGGACTCAAAACTGAACTGATAAGATTTTGGTGGTCAAAGGTCGAGTTCATTGTGACCTTGCGTCCATCCCATTCTTATGAGCGGGATATCTCAAGACCACGTTAAGGAAATTTCTTCAAATTTGACACAAACGTTCATTTGGACTCAGTGATGAACTGATTAGATTTTGGTCAAGGGTCAGGGTCACTGTGACCTCACAAAACATGTTTCTTGCCATAACTCAAGAATTTCTTGCACTAATTATGACAAATATTCAACCCAAATGTCTCACAGGATGAAACAATGAAGTGATGACATTTTATAACCAGAAAGTCAAAGGTCAACATCTTTGTGACATCATCATGTTCTGCTCAAAACACTTTTCTGTCCTTTATTCAGTGTCATATCTCAGGAACAGAAGGGGAGACATTTGGTCAGATGCTGAATTGGTGACTCTAATCTTGAAACTGTGCTGATTGTAGAGAACTTCTGTGTGTGAAGCGTCCATGTTTTCACTGACATGGATGTAAACTGTAACTGCAACTTGACTGGTGCAAGAAGGCGTACAGCCGCGGGTCAGTAATTCTAGTTGTCCTCCACAGGATGATATTGCTGATCAGTCATGCAGTATGGACACTGTGTTTGTTTTTCTTTTCTCTAAGGACACCGTCTCCTCATGGTCACATCACACTCATCCCTTATCTTACTCTTTATCCCCTTTCTCCTCGCAGTTATTTCTCACAGCTCATAGAACATTAATTGAGCTGCTGATGAGTCACCTGCAGAGTTCATCTCTCTTCTGTCTGTTAGTGCAAACACTCATGCTCAGTTTACAGCTCATATTTATACAACAATGCAGGCCTAGATGCTTGATGAGCAGGATGAGTAAAACACTTCAGATTTCATTTATAGCAAGTATTTGTACAGGACAGTGCACAGCTATAAAAATTATAAATGATTTTATCTCTGAATCTTCTGACAGCAGGATGACACAGTCAGCATGCAGGTTGTGCTTTAAGTATAACATCAGAGTTGCACCGTCTGCCATATCTAGTTGAGATATTTCAGTCAAAACTGAAGTGGTGGATTAACATTTCCAGCCACAGTGCAGTATATTACTGAGCTGCACCATTCATAGTTATAGAAATATATAATGGTGATAAACAGTCAGAAATAGTGACATCCTATCTTCTTTCTCCCCTCCTTTAACATAGCTATCTATCACAGGACGATGTTTTGGACCAGTCCAACCCGTTCGTCCAGCTGGTCAGTGGTGTGGTGTGGCTGTTAAGGGGCGGCGAGGTTTACATCAACCAGAGTCTGATAGCTGAGTGTGACAAGTCACAGGAGACGGGTACGTACTGTGCATTTATATTCACATTTACATTCACAGGGCAAACAATAAAACAGCTTCCTTTCAGCCTGCTGGGCGTTTAGTCTGGATTCATCTCATCTTCAACAAGACAGGGAAGAATTAATTGGAAAAATGAAAACTGGGGTTAAGATCAAGTTAAACTTCAGTTTAACAGGTTTGTTTCAGTTGCCATAAGCCCATTTTACACTGAGATTGTGCTATAAGGCCGCTATGAAGTCCCTTCTTTATGCCACCTGTGCATTTTTACACATAATCAAACAATGGCAGCATCACTCTGGACAGTGTGTGATTTTACATGGCATGCCGCCATCACAGAATCAAAACAGGCACGACAGGCATGACATGTTACATAACAGTGTTGGCAGTGCTTTATAAACAATGACAATGGCATAACATGGCGATAACAATCATTTAGAAAATTCCCATGGCCATGAAAAATCTGGAAAAGTCATGGAATTAGTGGAAATTTTCTGCTGCTTTTCTTCTTCTTTGAGTTAGCTGCTAACTGCCATCAGCTACTTTTTAAAACTCCTGCGGTGGGTTGTGCACATAGCATGTCAAAACGTCACACCCGTCTCATCCATGATTCCGTCCTGACGGTTGTCCCGGTTACACAGAGACCCTTTGGGCGCTGTCAGTGCCTGTGATGCCGGCTTAATGGTGAAACACTCTTTCCCCCTATTCCGTGATTCTACCCTTTATGGCGAGGCGGCATAATAGTGCAAAATTCCCGCCTTGAAGAGGCAGTGTAGAAGAAGCTATAGTGACACAGACTGTCAGTAAACCTGGTTTCTACATCAACACCTTTCCAGAGATAATCAAGATTTCCCCTGAACTTCAGACGGAGTTACAACAACACACAAGTCCTTCTTTCCAGGATCATTTCACGTGACCTCCGCCCAGCGACTGGATCTGCTTCACTTCAGCTGTAATTAAGTGTAACTATACCTCAGAGCGCTGCCGTGCCGTGTTTGGATAACACAGAAACTTGGCTGTGACCTGCCGTGACTCCACTGCCAACAAAACATAACACTGGCATGTTAGATTAACAATGACAAGAGTGAAACCAGAGTTCACATCAAGTTTCCTAGCTGCACACACCTTTATTGTTACACACACTGTAAAGCGAATGAGGATGAGTTTTCCTATCATTGTTTACATGTTGCTGACCTCAGCTGATTATGAACTCATTGCCATCATATAAAACTCTGTAGAGACATCGCCCACTTCAGACAGTCAGCAAACAGCCAACCTTATATCCAGGTCTAAATGAAGATGTTTATCTCAACATTATTTTCTCTTCATTTCAAAACCTGTACTCCATGAATTTAGCTTTGTACTCCTGTAACATTGATCAGCAGTAAAAAATTAGGATCAGAATCAGTGTGTCTTTTTTTCTACACATTCTTTTTCCTTGTCGAAACCGGATGCCAACAATACCCACAATACAACTCGATGGCCGACTCTTTGGTGGAGATCACATAATGGGAGCCAGAAATTAGCATATTGCTGCAAATTTGGACATTTTAACATGGGGGTCTGTGGGGAGTGACTCACTTCTGGAGCCAGCCCCAAGTGGCCATTAGAGGAACTGCAGTTTTTGGCACCTCTGTGTTGGCTTTATTCTTCACCCCTGGAGGTTGCCGCTTGGTTTTACGACGGACTTGAAAAGTATCAGCTCCTTCTGCCCTCTGTCCTAAACAGAGCAGTTTGAGGAGAAACTTAGTCATCAGTTCTTTGTGGTTTGTTTTTGTCTTCCTTCTTGAAAAACAGCCTTGACGTTTCTGGCGCAGACAGCCGCGTGTCAGTTCAACTCATCAGCTTGATCCACGAATGCTACAAGGAAGGACAAGATGTTAGACTGCAGGAAGCAAGTCAACATGTAACATTACTTGATAGTGAATAGATTTCTAATCTAGTTTGATTTACCAGTTACCATTCAATAATTATGAATCAGCTATTATTTTTCTCCTTTCCTTCAATAATCTAATTGCAGTGAAAAAGAGTATAATTTAGACACAAAATATTCTGACCAAATGTATTATCAGAAGAACCCTCCGGGTTTGGAGAGAGTTACTGCCTCAAGCAAAGGAGTTCAAGTATCTCGGGGTTTTGTTCACGAGTGAGGGTAGAATGGAGCGTGAGGTGGATCGGCAGTTTGGTGCGACTTCTGCAGCGATGCAGGCGCTGCCCCTGTCTTGGTGCACCTCGGGCACGTCCCACTGGTAGGAGGCCCCGGGGCAGACCCAGAACACACTGGAGGAATTGCATATCTCACCTGGCCTGGGAACACCGCAGGGTCCCCCAGGAGGAGCTGGAAAGTGTTGCTGGGGAGAGGGACATCTGGGGTGCATTGCTTGGCCTGCTGCCCCCGCGACCCCGGATAAGTGGATGAAAATGGATGGATGGATGATTCAGACCTCCAACTAGTCAATGTCTACACAGTGTTTCATAACAGGGGAGAATACGGTTAGAACTTGGATGCTGAATTTGTTTTCTAGTCCAGAAAAACGTCAGTGACCCTCCATCTTTATTGAACCACAGCGGTGAAACTGGGCTCTGAAGTGGTTCTCAGTGGTTTTATTGAAGAGCTTTAAACTGTCATCTTTCAGTCCATTGTATGTTCAGCTGATATTCCAACAGTGCCAACCTGAGACTAACCTTCTGTGTCTGTTGTGAAGAGCTTTGCTGAAGTGAATTTTAGCTTGTTACAGACATTATTGTGCACTTGACAGTGGAACAGGAACCTGTTCCTCTTTAAATCTGCACACCTTTTGATGCTGGGCTTCCAGCTTCTTTTACCAACGACAGCTGATTCGTTCTGTTTTTATTCAGCTGTTGCTCAAAGGGATCTTTGTCTCTTTACATTGTTAGTCTGTTTTTTTCTCAATGTACAAAACAAACCCTTCATACTAAATTAAATTGATTCGTAAAAAATGTCATGGTTGGTGAAAACCTTCCATGAGAAGAAACACAGAATACAAAATCCTTTTCAAACCCATATATTTTTGATTTAAGAAGTCTTGTATGGATCTTTTTTTGTGCATAACATTTACACAAAAACATGTCTCTTGTACTTTCATAGGGCAATTCCGCACTTTTGTGGATGTGGTGTCAGCGAGGACGGCGGTGGGCCACGATGCCGAGGGCAGACTCATCCTGTTTCAGATCGATGGACAGACTGGAGTGAGGGGGTAAGAAATGTTGCTCTCCAAACATCTACTCAGCTAGATGAAAGAAATGGAAGTAATATTCTTTATTTACCACCCAGTGAGTTGATGAAAGAGTCAGTCTCCCTCTGGGGAGGAAAAAGAGAGAGCAGATGCAGATGTGGACGAGAGAAAACATGATAATTTATTCCATCAACATTAAAGTGACTCACAGGCCTTTGAGTCAATACAGAGTGCCCTGTAGTGGGAATTGAATATACAGGGTTTGATTTGGCATGCCTGAGTCAAACAGACAGACAGAAAACAAGCTCTGTGCACTTTGGATTGTCTTTATCACTGCAGCAATAATAAAACAGGCTGTGGGATCAGTGAAATGTGGCCACAATTCGTTTAATTTCCTGCATGATGAACTGATGCTGGTGGAGGTGAAGGAGAAAAGCTAAAGATAGCTGGCGGAAAATAAAACAACCTAATGTTAAAGGTGATAAATGGAGGTTCAGTAAAAGGCTTTTTAACCTCTGACAGCTTTCATTTGTGAGATGAACCGACATGTCACCGCAACCCACTAAGATCTCTCCACCAATCGAATGTATTGATCCGACTCCCCCTCCACCCTCAGAGCAACCCTAGAGATTAGTGTGTTGCTGTCAATGATGTGGCCTTGAAAAGCACAACAAGCTGACATGTCTTTATATGTCGGCTGCCCTATGTGTATCTCCGCTCAATATCAGGCCTCCGCCTGCTCAATAAAAGTCAGCTCGGACCAAACAATGACCTCTCAGGGTGACCCCATGTCAGCAGCCTGCACTCTGACTTTGGCCGGGCCATGTGGGATGTTCGCTCAGCAGTTGCCGTTCAGCCCTCCCATATGGTACTGTGTTTGATAAGAGCTTCCAGTTCATCTTTCAAGGGCATCTTCATGTGCTTTGAAAGATTAAAACAGGAGGTTACCACAGGATAAAAAATATGGCGTTGAGTCTGAATTGATCCTCCTGCACAGGACACGCATCAGATTCATTGTAAGAGTCCCAGAAATAAAGCAGTCTTCCTTTGCTTTTGTGTTTCAGATAAGTTAATGCTGAAGTTCAAACTAAATTTTGGAATATGTTCCATGTGAGAACAATATTCACTTTTCACAATTCAACTCAAGATAGTTGTGTGACTGCAGAGATGGTTTTGTGAGAATTTGAAAATGCTATGCAGTGACAATATAGGTTTATATCTAAAGAACGTGCATTTAATTACCTTTAATGACTGATGTCAAGAATCCATCTGTTATCCATATCATATGTAGAAGTCAGGTTTATCAAAGCTCTCTGAAAATATTAGTTAGCCAGCCCTAATTAGGACTTGATGTTCCTGGGTATCAATCAAAATAACCCAGTACTTTGGATGTAAGCTGTTAGTAAGTTAACAGTTGAGAATATTTTTGACCAGTTAGGCGTATCAGTCTATGGTTTGCTCCTCTTCACTTTACTGCACTGCACACCAACCGGGTCTGGTGAGAGCTAGCCAGCGGCGCCACTCATTCTGTGATTACCATTAGTAATGTTGCCCCGACCAAGCAGCAGCCTCTGAAGTTGAAAAATGAAGCTCAACACAGAGCAGTTCCTGTAATGGTCACCTGAGGCTGGCTCGAAAAGCGAGTCAGTTCCACAGACCTCCATGTTAAAATGTCCAACTTAACAGCAGAAATAAACATGTTTACAGCCTCTGTAGCTAATGTCAACATTCATGACAACTGTATGGCTGTTTACATTTTATTAAAGCTTAAAGTTCTGCATAATTAAGGCACGGCTGCTTTGAGTGACAGGCTGTCAGCTGTGTCCTCGGCTTCTCGGTCAGATCCACCCCTCGCTGCACCACAACTCCACCTTCTCGCCCAAATATGGTCACTTCTGGCCCCCAAAAAACAAGACAGCTACTTCAATGTTTGCCCGGTTAGCATGAGCTGACACAGCAACGTTTAACATCTGACATTGAGCTGTTAAACAGTCCCAACAAACAGCAGCAAAAGTGATCAAGTCTGTCGTGAACCCCATCAATAACCGTTACGTTATTAAGGGTAACGTTAGCCATCCGATGCTAACCGCTAATCCTGTTAAAATGTGTCGCGGTCAACTCTGTCCTCTGTCCTACAGCCCATACAGTCCTTAAAGGGACTCTGTGCTTGACTTAACCACACCACAGAGCTACAGTTCAACATGCCAGGATGCCACCAGACGTTGTATTTAATTTCCTGTTTTTTGTATCTGTACAGTATGAATCTTTGGGAGTTGGCTGAGACTCTGAAGAGCTACGGGGTCATCAATGCCATCAATCTGGATGGAGGCGGATCTTCCACATATGTGACTGGTGGCAAATTGGCCAGCTATCCCTCTGATCACTGGTGAGCAGATTAACATTTCATCTATGAGGATAAAAGGTCTTTTTATGCTCCACCATAAAACACAACACTGACAAATGTGGTTTGAGTGATCGCCCTAATCGATGTTTTGAGCTTCATTGTTCTGGATCTGTCTTCTCATGATCTTCACCTCTCTTTCTCTCCTCTCAGCGAATCAGACGGCAGGTGGCGTTGTGCTCGGCCCATCTCCACCATCTTGTGTGTTCACCAGCGGCGCTGCCAGCCAGCAAACTGCAGCGGACACGGAGACTGTGTGGACGGACGTTGTCGGTGTCAGGAGGGCTGGCAGGGTGTCGCCTGTGACTCTCTGGTGTGTCAGCCGCCGGCCTGTGGCGCTCATGGCGTCTGCACTGCCAGTAAGTGAGGAGGTGGCGCTCAGCAGTAGCAGGTGGAGGATTAGGAGGTGCAGGATTAGTTTTTATTTTACTTTAGTAAAAGTTCAGAGTACTTCCTCCACCTGCTGGTTAATGACTCGTGACTTTGTCAGCACTGTTTCATGTCTTGTTGTCTGTGCTGCAGATGGTTGTGTCTGCGATGCTGGATGGAGAGGAAAGAACTGCAGCCAAGGTAATCACTCACACACACACACACACACACAAAAGCTGACCTTAACATCAACCAGAAGGGTCATACGTTGGCAAATATTTCTGCAAAATCAATTACTTTCATTGGAATCGCTGAAACCTGACGTACAATAACACGACCAGTCACGCTGAACGTCTTCTGAAGTGTAAAGATTTTGTTTCAGTTATAACAACAAGTCACTTTATTTCCTGTGTCCCTCTGTGTCAGTGTGTCCGCTGGGTTTCTTCGGCCCATCCTGTGCTCAGGAGTGTCACTGTGACAACCAGTGTCCGTGTGACCCGCAAACAGGAAGCTGTAACGCCACACTGCGAGGAGAGACCAACTACACCTTACACAGAGGTACACACACAAACATGGAGACACGGTGGTTGATACTGTCGAAGCTGAGCCTGTGCATTGGAGTACAGTGAACTCATTGTCATGTTTGAGATGATGTGAGCTTTGTGACATGGTGCGTTATCCTGCTGGAAGTAGCCATCAGAAGATGGGTACACTGTGGTCATAAAGGGATGGACACGCTCAGCAACAATACTCAGGTAGGCTGTGGTGTTTAAACCATGCTCAGTTGGTACTAAGAAAATCTCCCCCACACCGTTACACCACCAGCAGCAGCCTGAAGCGTTGATACAAGGCAGGATGGATCCATGCTTCCATCTGAATGTGGTTTTTCCAATCTTCTTTGTAACCAGTGCTTATTTGACTTCCTGTTGCCTTTCTATCATCTTGAACCAGTCTGGCCATTCTCCTCTGACCTCTGGCATCAACAAGGCATTTTGGCTCACTGGATATTTTCTCTTTTTGGGACCATCCTCTGTAAACCCTAGAGATGGTTGTGCTGAAAATCCCAGTGAATACTCAGACCAGCCCATCTGGCACCAACAACCATGTCACGTTCAAAGTCACTTCAATCACCTTTCTTCTCATCATTCTGATGCTCTGTTTGAACTTCAGCAGCTCGTCTTCACCATGTCTACATGACTAAATGTATTGAATTGCTGCCATGTGATTAGATGATTAACTATTTGTGTTAACAAGCAGTTGAACAAGTGTACCTAATAAAGTGGCCAGTGAATATATATGACTGGCTGCGTTTTTATACCTGATTTGCACTGCACATGTGTAACACAACAAAGATGAGAAGGAAGTCAGATTGCTCACTATATGTAGTTTACATGTCGGAATATCAGATTATTGTATGCTGGGTCTGATCCATGTGAGGAGACGGGTGGAAATCACACAAAGAGATACTCACTGAATGTTTGAAACTCAGTGTTTATCAGCCTCAGTGTGTGTGTGCGTGCGTGTGTGTGTGTGTGTGTGTGTTGAGGTTTAGCAAATGTTTGCACAGAGCAGAAGTAAAAACAGCTCAGTCTTTGTTGCTTTCTGTCTCAACAGAGCACCACTGTATCGACTCAAATGGGAGGACTGGAAATATTACTCATGTGCACATTAGCTCCAGAACTCTATAACTCCCATTCTGTTTAATATTTCACAAAGAGACAGAGAGACAGTGGAGTCCATTAGAACAGTGCAAAATAACAAAACCAACCCAACCAAAGGTTTCAGTAACCCTCTCACAGAACCTCCTCTGTACAGAGTCTGTTGAGGGGCCGATATATAAAAGTCCAGTGTGTAGGTTTACTTATTTTGATATAATGAATATGTTTTTTTTAGTGTGTAATCACCTGAAAATAAGAATTGGTGTGTTCTCATTACCTTAGAATGAACTGTTTATATCTACATAGGGAGTGGGTCCTTATTTACGGAGATCACCATTTTGCTCCACCATGTTTCTACAATAGCCCAGAATGGACAAACCAAACACTGGCTCTAGAGAGGGGCATTCATGTTTTCACATTGGCCACTGTAGTTAGAAGACTCTCAGTGATGAGCAGTGTAGGAGAAACACTGATTTCAATCTGCAGTCCTCACCGCTAGATGTCACTAATTCCCTCTTATGCAGAATTCATACTTCTGCATCGTATTGACACTGTACCCACGGCGAAGGCTCTGCGCCAACATAGAGCCTTCGCCGTACCCTATGCCATCGCCTGACGTGCACCTCCCCAGAAATGTGACTACACAAAATCATTTCCCTCAGTGGAAACAAAGCTTTTATTTACTTTACTTCACAGATAGGAAACAACAAAAAGTAAAGACAATAAAGCCTCCACAAAAATAGCATTTTAAGTTGTGTGTGATTTATCCTGGCTTCATATGAGCAGAAGAAATCTCTGCTCGTCGCTAGGCTAATGTATACAATGTAAAATGCCATAGGCTTGTGCTAATAATGTTAGCATGTTATATTGTTATATTTGCGAGTTATAGCGAAACCAATTTGTGTACTTGTGTTTGAAACTGTCTCTATTAAGCCATGTTTAATGTGTGTTTAATGTGTGTTTTGAATCAACTTTCCAGCACTTCACAGAAACTCTGCTGCCAACTAGTGTTTTGGAGGTGTAACAAGAGTGACTCAGACACACCACTGTATACCACAAGTATAAATGCTCACAACAGCATAGTTTATTCTTAAGTAATGGGCCATTAAATCTAAAAGCAAAACTAAGACTTAAGCGGCGCGCCATGTGACACGCGTCAAGTGCCGCCCCTAGCACACACTGGATGCGTCACGCTGCGGCTCTTCAACAGATGACCACGCAAAGTTATTACTACGGTTACTGACAGACCTGTACCTCCTCCACCTCTGCATTAGCTTAAAATCAGGTGTGGACAGCCACTAATTAAACTTGATTTCTCACCTGAAGAGCTGATCTCCAGAGCTACGACTCGCCAGGTGATATCTTTTTGGCCATTGTCTTTATAATGACGTGATTGTGGGTCGTTCAGCTCGGGATATTTCTTGACTTCAATAAGTCTCTCCTCATCTATTCTTTATCACACACGAGACACAGCAACAGCTACAGAGCTCTCTTCATGGTGAGGAGAGGAGTCGAGCTGCTATAGGAGCAGAGAAAAAGAGCTGCTATGGGAGCTGGTATGAACAAGCAGAGAGCCAGTAGGGGAAAAGCGCGTTTTATTATGGAGCCAGCGAGGCTTGAAATAGGACGGTGGCGTAAAGTGCTGCAGGGCGACGTGTCCAGGAGTATCGGTGTGCTGCAGCAGGTGTGGGATTGCACATTGAAAATAATAGGGTGGTATTTTATGACACGTGGCATTCACCGCCAGTGTGTTTTGGGTTTAAGATGTAGCTCTTGATAATGAAGTGACATATTTACCCTGCTCTTCTTCCTCTTTTTCTTCTTCTCCTCTCTACAGCTGGACAGTGTCTAGCCAAGAAGATGTTTACATCTTGGAGACAGGATGAAGACGCTCACAGGGAGCAGCCTCATCTCACAGAGTAAGTGTCAAAGGTCGAGTGGGGTGAACCTCTGAACTTTTCACCTCTGCTGTCCATTTTTCACGTCTGTTCAATAAACCGTTTCCTTCAGAAAATAGGTCACAGTTTTACAGTGAAGCCGTAGACTTCACCGCATTACACATATTCCTGAGTGTGTACTACAGAGCAAGATAAGGAAAGCAGAACTGACAAGAGGGAGTGTAATGGTTTATTTATTGTGGTTTCAGTTTGTTCTCTGTGTGATGGACAGTTGGCAGACACAAAGATTCTCCCTCAGACGTAGAAAATGTGAGCTGAGGTGTGAAATCGTCCCATCTGCCAGCCAAACATTGGTCAGCTCAGCATCTCTTCCAGCCCCTTAAACACACTGTTAGTCTGTTTTCTGTCAGTGTGGCTCTGAGTTATACCATTAATAAACAGAAAAATGTGTCAAAAGCTTCCAGGTTAATCTTCAGAGGAGGTTTTTGCACAATGTAAAGAAATTTCACAGTTTGAGGTGAGATATTGAACAGGGAATAATCATGCATCAACACAACAGCTCCGTCCTCTGCGCTGATTAATGGAGTCCAGTGAAACAAATTAAAATAAAGCACACACAGCGAGGCGGTCCAGACCTGCATCTGTCTCCTTGTCTCTCCTCTACATGTCAACGAGGCTGACACTCTGAGCATGGGACGCATTCATTAGCCTCCTTACCTTTCACATGCAAGTTAGGGATTGTTAGCTGTTGCCATGGTTCCTGGAAAGCGCTTTGTGAGCGGGTACTCTGGTCACAGATGGAGGAAAGGGCTGTTTTTCTTAACGTCATCTGTTTTAACCCTTTTTTGACCAGAAATGGGAAACATTTGAATTTAAAGCAGTCGCTGGCAGTCGTGGTGAAACAATACGAGAGTTAAAGATATATTCTGGATCTGTCTGCTTTACTTTGTGGTTGTGTTACAGCTCTTATTGACTTTTCTTTTTCAGAATCAATCTGTATCTTGCCAAGTAGGTACAAGGTTTTCGCCTTGGTAGTTTGGTTCCTAACAGCCACAATAAACAAATTAAGACAACATAAAAGACTGAATTACACAAGTCAAGAATCATAAATATAAAACAGAAATTTACAATAAAAAAAATCTGTCTTTAAAATGAAAATAGCTGTACAGCATTTAAAATTAATATGAATGTAACAAAATAAATAAAGTATGAACCCTTTGGATCCTGTGCAATAATTAAATGTACTCTAGTGCAATATTAAGTTCATACTAGAGCAATAATTGACATTTTTTTGGTGTAATAACTGCTGCAATTGTTATCGACTGTGGATGTTGATATGAATATCAATATGTGCTGCCTTCCTGAGTCTTTATTGCACTGATCAGATGTAGCATTCCTGTTTCGTTCCCCGATCAGGCTCAGGGGATGAGGGAAGTAACAATGAAAAGTAAGAAGAGGTGGGTGCATGAACAAAAGTTAAGGGACTTTGGGTGAGTCATTTTAAGATACATCGTCACCCATCGCCGTGTAGTAACTATACAAGCCGAAAACTAACCTCCGAAATTTAAGAATAATTATTTAACTTTACGTTAAGTACACGACGTCATTCATGGGGCACTAATTCGTAGAATATCAAACCAACTGGCCACCAGTACCTTTCGATGTTGATATTTGGTTTAATTCAGATTGTGACATCAGGTGACCATAATTCAACATCAGAACATCATATTAAGCCAACATCAAGTGATGTAGATTACTGACGACAGATGGCGGTGATATTTTGTTGATTTTAAGTTGTGTTGTGAAGTAACCAAAATCCAACGACTTCCAACCATCTCGTGCCATCGTCATCCTGACATAGAATAACGGCACTTAGTTGTGAGGTATGGAGAATAAAATCCAACATCTGCAAAACGTCATACTGTTAACCTCCGCACTACGTCAAATTCTAAAGTCATTAGACCTTTAAAACATCGTCAACCCAACTGTTGTCTGTCCGATGTAAGAGTCCAATGCCTTTCTGACATCATTTTGACGTCCGGTGCCAGCAAGGCGCCCAGTGTTTGCGTTTCTGCAAACCACAAATATTTTATATTTACGTGCTTCATACGTGTCATCAACGTTTCTAGTGATGTAGTATATGGGCTGACTTTGTCATCCGGAGGTGGACGGCATGGTGGATAGCGAGACACCGGCCAAGCTTCTTCAAAATGTTAACAAAAAAATACTTTCTTTAAAAGCAAAGAAGGTGATCCTAAATTAGCTTTTACCAGTGAAATGGCTAAATTAATAATTCAACAAAAGGTGTAACACTCTCCCTCCCAACAGGAGTGAATATTGCCAGTTTCAGTGCACCACAACACACTAAATTTACATTAACCTCGTTAGTTAATGACATACTTTTAATATTTGTCCCTCAACATGTCTCAGTTGTGACGCACCTAACATCGTCCCTCTCTCTCCTCAGGCGTACCTGGCTGATAATCACCTTCAGCCTGTCCAGTCTGCTGTCCATCAGCCTGCTGGTTCACCTCATGCAGGCATGTCGCGGCTCAGCGGTCGTTCACTTCTCCGAGCGACGAGACTACTCCTTAGTCCCGCTGACCGACATCAACGGAGCCGCTGCATGTTCCCGAGCAAGTGCCAAGAAATCCGGTTTGGTTTTGGACGACTCGGACTCTCAGGACGAAATCTGGTCGCCTTCAGGCTCAGGGAGGTTGTAGCTGTCAGGAGGACGAAGAGCGAGGGCGCTCTGTTTTTGCACAAAGAGAAACGACTGAAGCTCAGTGTTCCTCTGCTTAATTTAATTTCCGCCGACAATCCTGCTGAAATGAAAAGGAAGCTAAATGTGTCTGCTGACATCCACTGATGATGATGATGATGATGATGATGATGATTGCTCACATGTCTTCGTTTACAGCTGAGGCCTTTTAATCTGCTGATGAAAGGACAGCCAGGGGTCAAAACTTTATTTTGTCAGGGACCTGGATGCCTCAGCTCCAGGTAGGACGAGCTTTATAATTAGTTGCCATGGAAACCGGTGAACTATGAGGTCCGACCGGCGGCCTGTGTCACAAAGTTATCCAGATTTCTTTGAGCTTAACTCAGGTGTTTCCAGTATCAGGAAGCTGGTTCACTTTTCACCAGAGTTTATCACCATGTTAACTTCGATTGATCACCGTGGTAACCTATGCTGAACAGCTGACCCGCTCCAACTTCAACAGCAGCTTGACAACTGACCGATCATTTCTACAGGATCCTTGCAGGGACAAAAGTAGTGAGTAATATAAGAGACATTTTTAATATATAGTTGTCCTTTTTTTTTTTTTTACACAACCACATTAAAACCTCTAACAAACAGACAGCTTATAGTTTTACCACGACAGTTAATGTAATGGCAATTATAGCTGCATATTAGGCCTTAGTTTATTTTATAGATATTATTTAGTCGGTATAACATGTAATAAAGATCCGTGGAGCCCCTAATCTCATGCACAAGATAAAAAAAACAACCTTTTTTGGTATTCTGAATATAGTTACTGTCTTTAAAATAGATTACTTGAAGGGATTACTTTCTTTAATTTGCTCTAACACTGTGTCCTAACTGAACTCAACTTAGCGAGCTACAGTTTGTTGTATTGAAATGTTCCAACCGGCTGTGAGCGACACAGCGCTGCTGTGTTGAGCTAAATTTTTGTCGGGTGCCGTGTTTGTATTAATGCTTCTCACTCGCGATGAGGAACGGCTGATTCATGAAGTCAAAATGAGGAATTATCTCCACAATAATTCCTCATTTAACTATAAAAACAGGGGTGGAGCCCTTCTGTGTGGAGTTTGCATGTTCTCCCTGTGTCAGTGTGGGTTTCCTCCAGGTGCTCCAGCTTCCTCCCACAGTCCAAAGACATGCAGGTTAATTGGTGACTCTAAATTGTCTGTAGGTGTGAATGTGAGTGTGAATGGTTGTCTGTCTCTATGTGTCAGCCCTGTGATAGTCTGGTGACCTGTCCAGGGTGAACCCTGCCTCTCACCCAGTGTCAGCTGGGATAGGCTTCAGCCCCCCAACAGGATAAGTGGTTACTGAAAATGAATGAATGTAAAAATGACCATCCCTAACAACAGCCTACTTGTCGTTGGCTATATTGTACGTCATTTCCGGTAAATATCAAAATATAAAACGTGTTTCTGCTTAAAATGTACGAACGCAGAAAGATGGCGAGCACTCACTCGTCTTTACGTGGTTACATCTCCAGTCAAATGCACAGCTGATAGGTAGCCTACTTGTTTTTTTTTTTTACATGACATAACAGTAATGCATATTTAACAGATTCAGTGTGGGCACAGAGCGACTCTTTAGGACACAGTGTTAAATTCACGTGAGACATTTCCCATGAACACATTAAAAAAAATGTGCAGTGCAGCTGCCACACGATATAAGACCCAGACAAATGAGCTGAGCAAGATAATTTTGAGGTATTCAAAAAGTAATCCAAAGCATTCAGTAATCTAATGGAATACATTACAAATTGCAGTACAGGGCATGCAGTCAGTAATCTGTAGTGAAACATGTTTTAAAATTTAGGGGCTCCATTAAAAGGATCAAAATGTCTTAAAACTCACTTCAAACTACAAGTTGATGATGTACTTAAATAAGTCTATGTAATCATACTCAGACTGTATTTGGATATTTTTCCTTTCCTTGCTGATTGACCTCACTAATAGTCACTTGTTGCTGCTGCAGGTATCAGGGTTTTTCTCGTGTTATATCTGGATCAGAAACCAGCTTCATGATACCACTGATCCAGGATCACCTGTGTTAAGCTCCGTACAGCCAGGTAACCCAAATAGTGCCAGACTTAGTTGGATGTGCGTCACGACACAGACTTGTAAGTTGAACTTGCTTCGTCATACAGGCTCCTGGAAAGATGGTGTTTTGAGCTCGTTGCCACGTAAACAGATGAACTTTGAACTCGAACCATGACGTTCAAAACAAACAGTTACTGAGGGTTTTTTTATCAGACAGTTTCTTATCAACACGAGGATTTTAAGATGTTTCGTCAGACTGCACTGAGCTCTGAATGTAAAAAGAGGTTAATGTGCACATTTCATATCTGATGTAAAAATTCAAGAAGCACAATTTTCTTCAAGGTGCCACGAATATGTGCTCGGTTTAAACTTCTCTGTAGAGCTTTGTATCTTGTCAAGATTTCTTACCGCTGACCGAAAAAACATTCTTTATAATGTCATTTGTAAATGTCACCAAATCTCCTGGTATGGACAGGTTCTTTTTCCTTGTTTTAAACATGTTAATAAATGTGAATATCAGGATTCAGTTTTGAAAACTAGATAAATCTATCTCTGATTTGTTTTTGCCTTCACAGGTGTCTGAGCTCGCTGATTTAAATACAGATCTAAAGTGCAGCGACTGCAGGAAACAAACTAAAAGTCACTGAGAGGCTGAGGCTGGGCCTGGTGAACCTGCCGGACACGCCAACAAATTAAATAAATAAATATATGAATGAAAAAGAATCAACTTATTACAACATGCACAAACTTATGATCACAATGATCTTTATCAGCAAGAGAGATTCCAGTTTGATAAACTGCACTGGCACTGAGAGGAGAGTTTAAAATGCGAAAACTCTTTTCTTTTATTGTTTTCTTCCCCTTTGGTATTTGGCACTTTTGGGGGGAAGTTGCTAACTCAGCATGTCAGCACATCTGTAGACACCATGTTAACATATTAGCATTTAGCATGGCAGCATACGAATGTCGCATGCTAGCAGAAGTCACAGCCATGGTAAAGCTCTGATCACACAGAGTGTTTTGCAGGTTGTAAAGCACGAGGTGCACCACACACCTTTTTTCTTTTTTAAATTGAATGCCACTAGTAAAAAAAACCCGCTTGCTGACCCTTTTTTTTGTTGCCAGGCAACCATGTCGTCACCTCCTTTCCCTAACCCAGTGGTTCCTAACTGGTGGGTCACGGTCCAAAAGTGGACCGGGGGCCCATGACTGCAAGTGACTCAAACGTGTCAAGTTTGTAAAGATCAAATTTTATTTTATTAATTATAGTGAATTTCCGGCACAAAGATTTTATTTTGAAGTGCTGTTTCCTGCTGTAGAGTGAGTGACTAACAGACGGCTATTTGACTGAGACCGCAAACCAGCTCGATGACATGGCCAAACACAAATATGACACTGAGTAAATTAAACAATGTGGACCTTGAACTAATGACTAAGGAAAAATCTGGACCCTGTGACTGGACCAGTTGAAAACCACTGCTCTAACCCTCCCGTGTAATCAATCTACTGTTTATTTATTTAAATATGGCCAAATCCCAATACCCCCCCTTGTCCACTACCCCTAGCCATTGTCCACTATCCCTTGGCCCTTGAAATGAAGCAACGAGGAGTAGGGGTAGAAATCTTTCCCTAGGAATTGGGACACCACTCACTACGTCACCGTGTCGGTTATGTTCACGCATACGTAACTATTTTAAAAAGGAAGCTGCGAGCCATCTACATTTCCAACCGGTATCTACAATGGAGTCTCCAGCTGAGTTCACCCAACCGATTGCGTTTGCTGTATTCATCATGCTTCATTTGTTGAACGACAGACGACAGATGACTTGTCCTAGCTAGCTAACCAGCTAACATTACGAGGCAGCATAGTTATACTAGCTGGCGTGTTATCGTAATGTGAAAAATACGACAATTTTGCAGAACAGGACAGGTGACAGACGCCAGATAGTGCAAGCTAGCTAGCTAGCTAACAAGCAACCTGACGACGGTAACATTAGCTATGTGTGAACTTTTTTCCCGGTCTCTTGCTCAGTGGTAGCCATGGCGACGTCTACCCCTCACTGGCAAGTCAGCATCTGAAATCTCTCGCTCAGAAGGGCTAGTTTCATACCCACTACCCCTCGTTATGCCCCCTACCCCTACACGCAAAAAGGAATTGGGACACCACTACCCCTCGCGGGAACGCGCAAATGTAGGGGTAGGGCTAAGGGGGGGTATTGAGATGGGCCTTAAATTTATCCCCCAGTAATCAGAGTGTAGTTGCTGACATGTTGAGGCAGAGGGTGCTGTCTGTAGCTCTGGTTGAGGGTGAGAGGCTGTCAGCAGATAAACAGAGATCTGTGTGGGTACATGAGACCCTAAAAAAGAGGCTGGATCATGGGGAGTACCACCAGTTGGTCCAGGAGCTTCTCCTCCATGATGGACGTTTACAGGCATATTTTAGGATGACTCAGGGGCAGTTTGACAACCTGCTGTCTATCATCAGGCCGTATAGCTCTGGGTATCCAGCAACCACTACCACCAGTTTCTCCTCCATTGTTTACCAACTGTAAACTTGTTGTCATGACCACCACAGAAGGCCCGCCTCTCAAATCATCTCACTGGACAATGGGAAAAAGCGCAGATGACGTGGGGTACTTTTCTGCTCTGAGTTGAAGCTTTTTCAACTCGAGGAGTTCAGAGTGCTCCGGCAAAAACGCCCGGCACCTAGAGCGCAGAAATGCGAGGCACGTAGCAACGCAAAAACAGCGAGCAAAACACTTCAATCCAATGAGGTCTACACTCCAGTGATACTGTTAGCAAAACATGCTCAACCTTTGAAACATTTAAAAGACAGAAAATAACTCCATGCTGACAGATTTTGGTCGTTAGTTTAGAGGCATCCTGTCGCAACCTTGTGGAAAAAGAGTCATTAGGATTCATCCTTTGGGGAATAGGAACGCCTAAACCAAATATGTGAAACCATCTGACAGTTGTCAACAGACGAACGCTGCCAAGCTATGAGTGTCGCCCCAAAACAAGGCGACATCAGCAGTTCGTTCAGGGTCGCACTGAAGCTTTGAGTCTCACAGCTCAGTCGCTCACTGACACAGATTTATAACCAGTTTTCCGCCATGGATCATCAGACATGTCACACAAAACAAGCACTGCGTCTTGGCTCAGTTCACAAAACACATACCTGGTTTGATCTTTTTATATGTGGATAGAAAGTTTGAATTTCTGTATTGTGTGTTTGATTTTAGAAACACTCCATTGCTCTTGTTTTCTTCTCCTCCTCACTGAGTGCTGCTTTGTGTCAGCAGCCTCTTGTTTCATAGCTGTTTATGTGCAGAGTCATCTAGTCTGTTTTGACATGTCAGCCGAGGTCTCACCCGCAGGTCACTGCACCTTTAGAGAAATCTCTGTTGATTATCTGTTCACTGGAGCGTTCATTTGACCTTTGAGCTTCACCACAGGCTGCACTCTCTCACTCCGACAGCTGAATGTGAAAACCAAACTTTGTTCTGGTTTCACTTTGGGGGTTTTACGCTTTAATTTTCTGTCTTCAACTTTGTGGATGTTTGGTGAGTTAAAGCTGAGGTGGGCAGAAATCTGTAGACAAAACATTTAATAGTTGAATGAATCAGACATGGACAAATATTTAAAATGTATTGAAACTTTAAGGGAAGTTTGTGGGTGGAGGAGACGTCAGTATTTGAAGAGGAAAATGTTCAGGATACAGATGGATTTCAGAGTGTTTCATCATCGTGCAGTTGCATTTTATCCGTAAAACATGTCACCGTCAGCAGGAGGAAGTGATGTCGTATTGCAAACATCAGCTCACAGTCAGTGGATTCAGTCAAACAGTCGTCTGTGCAGCAGGTTAGGTGACACACCGACTGCTTTTGTTCAGATCAGCTGAAAGTGACTTTACCAGCCTGCAGCAGAGAATGTGTCCTGACAGGTTTGGTGTCGTACAGATGTTGCCGTCTCAAAGAAGATCAGCTGACCTGATTCTTCAGCTCACATACTTGAGCTGCAGGGCAAGCCAGTCTGCTGAATACTTCCCTGTGGATGTTTACATGTCAGTCATGCCAGAGGAGAAACATGTGTTATCTGTGGCAAACGT